GACCACCTGGCAGAAGCCTGTAGACAAATGTAGCAGCTTCACCCGCTTGTTGGTCAGGACAGAACACAGACCTGAACAGTGGTCTTCATTCCAGGTTTCCTGGCAGACACATCTCGATGTTGAAAATCACAGAGCAGATCCATGGAACAAATTTCCCCATCAGAGAGCCTGGGAGTGTGGGTCTTGCTGACCTTTGTGAATTTGACTCTTAGGTTCCTTGTGTGTGAAGTGGAGCCGGTACCTGTGTTAGAGGAGATCTGGCTGTGGGCAGCAGTGTCTCACCTGTGCCCTGACATGTGCTAACTGCTGCATGTGCCACGTGCACAAAAGCAGGGCCCTGGGGAGTCTTCCTTTGAGAAAAAGCCCGTTTGAATGTCCACCAGAGCTTCTGGTGACCTCATGGCAGCCATGGCCATCCTTAGGCACCATCTTGGCATACCCCCCTCTAAATTCCAACCGTAACCAACTAACCTAAAATCCTGCTTTCCTTTTTTCTTTTTCCTCAGCCCCTAGAGGAAATCTACTCTGCAGGGGACTCGCTGATGATTCGGTTCCACGCGGATGACACCATCAGCAAGAAAGGCTTTCACGCGCAGTACACCAGTACCAAGTTCCAGGATGCCTTGCACATGAGGAAATAGCACCACGGTTCTGGAGAGGCAGAAACTAGGGATGTTTTAAACACTTGTGAATGAGCAGTGTACAGCATTTTACTCCACAACAAAAACTCAAACTACATCCTCAAAACTATGTATCTGGATGAAAGTACATCAGACCTTTGGCCATCAGGAGGAAAAAGGGTATTCTGTTGGTTCTGGCTGAGCAGCATCAGTTGCAGCTTCTAAAGGAGGTCAAGGTTTGAAGTTAGTGACCAAACAAGCTGAGCTCCTTCACGCTTGTTCTCCTGCCTTTGCTCCTATGGGACAAAAGGCTGCTTCTTTCTCAACCCTGGACTGGCTTCCATAGGTGACTGGGCTGCCTACTGCCAGCACTGGGCATTGAGGATAAAAGCCCGGCAGAGGCTAAGCTGTTCCTCACAGGTGTGGCTGACAGTCTTTACACAGCTCTGCCAGAGTCAAGCCAATCAGGAAACCTGAGAATATGGACACAAGAGTTAAGGAGGCACCCCAGTGCACAGAGAGGAGGGGTAAGCTAAGAGCCAGCATAACAGAGCTGGAAGACCTTGAGCTATCTTTGCCTCCTCCGGGGTGCTCCTCTCACGAAGAAGAATCCACGATCACTCTCAGCAGAATACTAGCTGGTGAACGCCCCCATGTGGCTGAGACCACACCCAGGTTTACCCATTATTCCTCCACTCAGAGGCTGAGGCTGTGCTGGGCTTCCCACTGGCTTCGGAGAACCCTCAGAACCCTGCAGAACCCTGAGAACCCTGCAGAGGCACTTGCTCCAGTGAACCTCAGCCCCGGGACAGCCAGTTCAAACAGCATCTTTTCGAGACTTGCCACATCATCTCAGGACCAATTCAGGTCTTGCTAGGAGAAAACTAGTATTTCCAAGTTACGTAGGAGCAAGTTGGGCCGTGGCACACTTCATGGAACCAGACAGGAGGAGTGCCTTGGCCAGGACCCAGCCACCAACCTGCACTCCAAATTCTCAACAGTCTGGCGCTTGTCCTAGAGAAGCGTAGGGGGTGATGTTTACACAATTTTAGCACCTCAAGGTATAATTGAAATAGCGAGGTAGTTTTGAATGGCATTTCATGAAGGCACCTCTGGGCATTATGAGCTAAAAGCGGTGGTATGTTAGCTTTACAAGAGCATATGATTTTAAAATAATGTTTACATAACCACGAGTCCCGTTCGGTTGGTGGTGAACACGACCGGGCGGCACAGGAGAGTGTTTCCGTTACAGGCGGCAGAGCTCCCGAGCACCAGGATTCCTTTGTGACGGGCCATCGCTTTAAAGAGAGTGTTTGTGAAAGAGCGGAAAGCTGAAGTTTCTGCTTTAAAAGAATTATCACAACATGCCGAGCAGAGGATGACATCCAACTGAAGTGACTGCTGGGAGCAAAAACTGGAATGATACAAAGAAAGGGGAAAAAAATGCATGGGAATTTTTTGTTCTTAAAACAGAAAAAAAAATCCAAGTCTTATAATTATTATTATTATTAATATATGTCTGTATATATGTACCTATGTATGTATTTAGGATCAGCTATCAAAGCCTTAATCAGGGTAGCGTGACAGCGCCAACCCACTGGCTGTGGCTTTATCATCGGACTCTGGTGCTGGCCCCATACTGTACGGCCCTCCCTCCAAAACCAAGACCTCTTCTAGATTCCCTGGGCCCTGAACCGAGAGTCTCAACCTCCATCGGATGGCTGGCACACGCACCCAGGGAGCTTCCTATGGCAAAAGAGCTTATGCTATGGTCCTGGCCCCATCAACCCACTGTGGTAGAGTCCACTTCTCTGGTGTGTATGTGTGTAAGTGTGTGCGCGTGCGTGTGTGCCAGGTGTGTGTGTGTGTGTGTGTGTGTGTGTGTGTGTGTGTGTGTGTGTATGTGTGTGTGTGTGTGTATGTATGTGTGTTTAGGCTTTATTTTTTGTCTCACCTTGCCTGTCAAGGATGGAATGGAAATCAGGATGCGTTAGGTATCTCTCACCAACCTCACTCCACAGAGATAAAAATTCGGTGTTTTTAACCTTTCGAAGTGTAAATGAGGTCGGCAAATTCCATGGAAAATGGGAGCCGGGGAGAGACAGGGTTGGTCTTAGTGTTTGCCATCCTGGTGACACACTGATAATGTTTTCAGAAGCATGCAGCGTTAGCGGAGGCCGACTTACAACAACGCGGCCTGTGCAAAAGCCCTTATTTAGGCCTGTGAGTGACATGTTCGCAGAAGACAGACTCTGATTCAACAACGACTGCTGAGGCCCCTCCTCTGGAAGCCAACACTCATGGGCTTCACACATGACACAGTGTGGCTTCCAAGAATAGAGGCCCAGGTACCCACTTCGGCCCTTCCAACTGCCTAGGGGCCTTCCTGAAAATGTCCCTGGATGTGGATGGATAAAAGGGCCCAAGGAGAAACCCTTCAGCTTACCTTCCCCTCTTTCTGGGACCAGGCCTGGGGGGCTGGAGCTCTAAGACCCAAGCGCTGCCTCTGGAAATAACCTGAGGAAGTATTTGGCACTTGGGTTACCAGATGAATCGAATTCTAGTGTGGTCTGACTTGGTAGAGACCTGAGCCTGCACCCCAGGGTGGAAAACGTCTCCAAACAGCTGAGGTGAGGCTATATATGGTTCACTATTTTCTCTAAAGTTTCTCCCTCAGCGTTTCCCTTACCCCACAGTCATAGTCTTCATAAACTGCCCAGCCTCTTGAAACAATTCTCTAAACACAGCTAACCAGCAAATCTTCAGAAGAACATGCCCCTTTGCTGCTCTTTGGAGTCCTTGGTATTTTCCTGCAGTTCGGGAAGAGACGGTCCCTTATGGTCCTGTTCCTGCAGTTCGGGAAGAGTCGGTCCCTTAGCATCTACAGATGATTTCACTTTGCAGATTGTGATCACAGTTCTGGTCAGTACCCCAAATATCTAAAAATCTTCTTCTTCTTCTTCTTCTTCTTCTTCTTCTTCTTCTTCTTCTTCTTCTTCTTCTTCTTCTTCTTTTTAAAGAAAAGTGTTATCTATATATATATATATATATAAAAGGGTATTTTTATTTTGAATAACTTTACATTTCATGTAAAATGTCAGTTGGCAAGAAAATGGGAAAATGATAACCCTTGTCTAAAAAAAATGATGGTTTCATTAAAGAATGTGGATTTACTGCTGTGTTCCGGGTTTGTGTTGCTGCTTCAGACAACATTGGCCTTTTTAAGAGTGTATTTGTTTTTATTTTTTGTGTATGAGTGTTTGCCTACCTGTATGCATGTGCACTGTTTATGTGCCTGGTACCCTCAGAAGAAGGCATAAGGTCCCGAGGGATGGGAATTTTCAGGCAGTTGTGAGCCACCATGTGGGTGCTGGGAACTGAGCCCAGATCCAGTTCAAAAGCAGCCAGTATCCTTAACTGCTGGGCCAGCTCTCTGGTCACCATTACTGACATTTTGGAGAAACACTTGGAGAAATCAGAACAAGTGTCCTGCAATGGTATTTTTGTACCACACACGAATACAGTGAAACCCTGGCCCCAGTGTGATGTGTGAGAGAAAATCGAGGACATGGCTGTCCATGGACTCTTCTCATACATCAGCATGGCTGGGACCTGGATCTTGGACTAGATAGGTCCAGAAGCATGTGTATTCAACACCCTCCTTTCAGTGCTAGGCAGGCACTCTCCTGACTGAGCTGTCTCTCTAGCCCTGCAACTCACTGTTTTAAGAGGCAAACTCATGACAGAAATCGTAAGCTATTGAAAGAAGCCTCAGCTCTAGGAGATTTGCACTCAAGATGCAAGGAGCCAAATCTGGAAGTCAAACCTGCCACCAGGCTGCCCATGGCCTGCTGGGTCTGTTGTTCACTGTGGTAGCCATAGCCCTGCCTCACACAGAGTGGCTTCAGCACTTATGCAGCCATCCCCTGTGCTGATAGCGATGTCACGTTGCCCACATCATGGCTAGGGATGCAACTAGTGTGATGCCTGTCTGCTGCGGGATGGAGAAGTCAACCTCAGTTTTCTTGTCATTGTTTTAAAAAAGACCCCCCACTCTGTGTGTGTGTGTCTGTGTGTGGTCCGTGCCCACAGAGGTCAGAAGAACCTATAGGAGGGCCTGGAGCTGTAGTTACAGGCTGTATTTAGTTGTCCAAAGGGGATGCTAGGAACTGAACCCTGGACCTCTGAAGAGTGGCATCTGATCTCAACTACTGAGCCATCTCTTTAGCCCATTGTTTCTAATGAGTCCCCAGCTGCCAGAGCTCCAAGCTCTCAGGCCAGCTTGTGGCTTCTTTGCTGCAAAGTAAAAAGGACAGAAGATAAAGACAAAGAGAACAAAGACTCAAGCCATATGCAGCACGCAGGGGACAGAAGCTCATCAGCTAAGGGCTTGGCTACTCCCCTGACCATACATGGCTTGGCAAGGGCTTTCCTGGGACTACCTCTAGCCCTGCCTCCCAAGCGTTCCCAGCTGGTGTCTTACAAGTGGGAGACACAGGCGGACAGTGCCAGTGAGAGAGAAGCTTGCCAAGGAAGCCTGTTAGAAATGGTAAGTATTAGCATCTTTCCTCAGCCTAACCTTTTTTTCTCTCACTGTGAACCAGTTCCAGGACTTTTAAGGTTCGATCTCCTGGTTCAATACATATAGCTTTATCCTTAAGATGACAAAGTCCTGGAGCTTGGTTTTTAATTATTTTCCTAGGTGCAAAATAGTAATTTAAAAAAGTTCTCATCACATATGTGCTGATTTCACCTTTCACTTGATATGAAGCTTTTCTTGTTAAGCCTTCTGTTCAAAGGGATACAGGGGAGGTATTTCAGCTCACTCCATTTCCTGCTGGGAGCCTTGGGTTTGGACCAGCGACTTCGTCTTTCCTCCATCAGTCTTCTGCCTGCTGCTTTCTCAGCAGTGTGGACAAGAGCGTCCACCTTTCTTACCGATGTGTGATGCATATTTGGTTGTGACTCACCCAGGGAAGTTTGCTAAATCAGGAAATCAAGAGGCTTTTTTATTTCTCTGTGTGAGTCCTAGGCTTTATAGATGCAAAAAATTATATATATATTAACTTGAAATATGTAGATATTAATATACCTATTAACTTGAAAGTAGCAGTAGAACTAGCTGGAAGTGGTGAAAAGGGAAGATAGTGGGGTACCAGAATCATGCTCAAAGTACTTTATATGTTTAGATGAAAATGGCCTTGTATACAACATATAACTTAAAAGCACACAATAGTATATAACATGTAACTAATGTATTACATACAAACATTATATATTTCAAAGTTAGGATGCTTTGGTTATAAATATTAGTTTATAAGCCTTAATTATTTTTCTACTTGTTCTAGGAGAAACAACAGAAAGTTAAAAAAAAAAATAGAAGCCAAACTCTTGTCAATTTTTGCCCATTCAGTGCCCCATTACCAGCTATTAGATTTGTTTCAGCAGTGTCTCGGATGGCTCTTTCATTAATATGGCAGTTTCAGGGTCAATCTGAACCAAGATCAAGTTGTTAAAGGGTATACTGAAGCAGTTTATGTACTAGAGCATTTCTGGGTCAATGCACCTTAAATTTGTGAACTTCCCTGAAAATAACTCAGGTGGCTACCAATGGGTGAGTGAGTAAAGAAACAGCGGAGTACTTATATTAAATACCTAGTCAGTATATATGAGTGTGTATATACAAATATATATGTAGATGATATATCCAGCCTTTACGGAGGAGATTCCAAGGTTTTCACAGCCTGAGGGGCTCAGAGGACATTATGCTGAAGAAGGTAGGCCGTAAACAGCTGTTGCAGGTATCACGTGGGATTTGAAAAGAAGTGATGAGGAGTCCAAGGAGTTAGGGAGACCTGAGACCTAACCCAGGATTTACCACTGACCTCTGGAAGGAAGCTCACCTTGGTCTAGGTTTCCTCACCTGGGCTGTGGGGATAATAATACCATCCTCGTGGGAAGTCCTCAGAACGGTGTCCGTGGCAGTCACTGTCCTGTTGCGTCTTTCCCATCATAAGTAGCAAACTCCTGAGGGATACTAAGGGCTGTTAAAAACATACTATAGCCATGACACCGACTGACCATTCGGTTCCTTTCACGATGGCTGCCTGGTGCTGACAATTTAATCGACAAGCTGAGTGGCCCCCCATGCCAGCTCTGTGCCAGACAGGCCTTGAAACACATGACATCGTGGGAGTCACATCGGCCCAGAACATTTGCTGGCTGGAAGGAGCTGCCGCAGACAGTGGATCCCTTGGACTTTTCCTGGAAGGTGGGCAGGAGAAGCACTACCCCATTTCCAGAATGGGAAAACGGAGCCTGGCAGGATAGAGGGCTGATGAGGATATAGAGACCAGAAAGTTGGTCTTCTCCAAGACCGTACAACTTCAACGTGGCAGAGGCTGTATCCACACCCAGATCAGGCGGCCCAGAGCCCGGGTTTGCCTCACCACCACACCCCTCTCCCTCCAGCTGCGTCTCTAAGACGGCACTATGCCATCCTTTCTTCACCATGACAGCATGACACTGTGTTTCTACAAAATATGAAAGTCTGTCTAAAATTGGCCCAAACCTTCGTCATCCGAAGGTCAACAAACAACGCATGCAAAGGCCCACTTGTTGCTTGCAGCCCTCTTCCATCTCTTCCAAAGGAAGCTTTGTCCGTGGCCCCCTGACATCACTGCTGATGAGATAAGTCTGGACAGCTGAATACACCATAGTGATCAGCAAGCGCCCTTGGGGCACCTGTAGGCGTGGGTAGTGCCAGGGCCAGGGAAGGCCACCGGCTAAGCCATAGCATGGCAGCAGGGAAGGGACTTGGTAGAACAAGGGAAATATGTGCAAATCAGTGCAAACTGGAATGATGGACAGGGAAGGGGGAGCAGAAAGGAGCCACCAGAGACATTGGCAGAACCTGACCTTAAGAAGAGGCATGCGTGGGAATACGGAATGCTGTAAGAAGGAAGTTTATTTATCGCTCACACACCACTGGGAAAGGATAAACCAGGCGCCGAGTGAGTCCCAGGCAGAGCAAGGATAAGTCCACGTCTACGCTGCCCTGACCAGTTCAGCTCACGACCAGAGCCTCCAATTTCAAACTTGGTAAAAACAAGGCAAAACAAAACAAAACAAACAAACAAACAAATAAAAAAGGCAGCCTCGTCTCTCCCAGGTTAACTCGGGAAGGTGGTTAATAGTCAGGGCTTACACCATGCCGCTTGGGGGCGCTGGTCTGCTCTACGCTGAAAGTATGGCTAAGCACTTCGGAATTCTCACAGCGCTCCCCTTGAAAGGCATTCTGGGAAAAGGCGATTTTCAATGCCTTGGGCTCCTCAGTCTAGCCCTGGCTGGGGAGCGGAGGGTGGGAAGGAAAGACTCCCTGCCGTGGGCACGGCTCTCCACTACCTCCGGCTCCCACGTCTACTGCTCTGAGAACTGAGAAGCGCTGTGAAGCCCATCTCTGGGTTCAGCACATCTTTGATGGGGTTGCTGTGGCTTGGAGGCCGAGGTTCAGGAGGTTGCTAACCGTCCCCGGGAGTTTTAATGCTTCTTTCTCTCTTGCAGAGTTTTTCACTGAACTTTACACTGCCGTCGAATACAGTAAGTACAGTAGTGAGACCTCCGACTCCAGGCAAGTCAGTGAAGGTCTAAGTAGAACTTACAGTGGGAGCTCCAGAACATCGTCCCACGCCACGTGCCCTGAATATTGTGTTGAGCGGTGCTGAGGGCAATGCTTGTTTGTTTGCTTCTTTGTTTTCATTTAAATTGTCCCCTCCCTCTCTTTGGTGTGTGTGTGTGTGTGTGTGTGTGTGTGTGTGTGTGTGTGCGCGTGTGTGTGTGATGAGTGTACATGTGCTATGGCATGCCCATGGAAATCAAGACAACTTGCTGGAAGGAATCCGTTTTCTCCTTCTACCAAGTGGCTTCAGGGATTGAACTCAGGCATTTGCAGCAACTGCCTATACCCACCGAGCAATCTCTCCAGCCCTGAGAACGATGTTTTTTAACAACAACAACAAAAAGTGCAAATGTACATTTTGAAAAAGAAAACCAAAGCTTTAAATTCCCATCAGCAGAGAACACGGGAGTGGCGCCCCCTGCTGTCTGACTTTACATGAACGCCAACTTGTTCTTCCTACCGTGTTCTTACTCTGCGTATAATTTTGTACCTTAAATATTCAGTATGTATAACCACAACTGAGAATAGTCACCTTATGTCTTCAAATGATTTTTTTATGTAATGAGTTCCAGATGGGAATAATGTATGACAAGCATCATTATAGATAAGACTTCATTTCTTTCTTTCTTCCTTTTCTTTTTCTTTCTTTCTTTCTTTCTTTCTTTCTTTCTTTCTTTCTTTCTTTCTTTCTTTCTTTCCTTCCTTCCTTCCTTCTTTTTTCTTTCTTTCTTTCTTTTTCTTATTTTGAGACAAGAGTTCCTAGTGTAGCTCTGATTGGCCCTGAGCCTGCGATGCTTCTGCTTCCACCTCCTAGTGCACATACCACCATGTCTGGCTTCGTCTGTATTTGACATTACTCCGTTAGTGTGGAGGGTGGGAAGAGAGTGATTGGGCCAACCAAGAATTTGAGTTTTCAGCGGGTAACGCTATTGTCATGGCTGTGTAACCTAGGGCTGTGCTAGCTTACACAAGTCACTTCCCTTCCCTTGCTCTTCTCATCTGTAAAATGGAGGCCATGTTGGTCCTGCTTCACTGGGCATTGTAAAGTGTGGCCAGTCGATATGGGAAAAGGGCTTGGACAGCCTGGCATGTAGTGGCTGCTTTAGGTATAGAATTAACAGGTGTTCATGACAGCAGAAATCTCATCAAGACAAACAGGATGTAAACAGAAAGGCAGCCATGCTGCCTAGGAGGGGTGGAGAGTTCCCCTTCCCTACCTTCAGGATCTAGAGAAGCCAGCTTCTCCCCTGCTCTTGGGCTCCCCTAGATGCCTCTGTGTTCCAGGTGTTAATGCCTTAAAAAGTTATTTATTCAGGAACTGGATCTTGCCTGTAGCCCAGGATAGCCTTGAACTCAAGATCTCTCTGCCTTCCAAGTTCTGTGATCAAAGTCTGTACCTCACTGTGCCGGATACGTTTTTATTTTTTGCCCTAACCAGCCTGAGTACATTTCTGAACTTTGAAGACAGGAGACTTTGCCTGAAATAACGGTGGACTCTTCCCACCATCCGCAGAAAGACCCTGCTTCCCACCAGGGCAGGGCCCCAGGGTTATGAGAGGGCGTGGGGTCGTGTTTGTGTGAAAGCAGTCATCTAATGAACAACAGGGAGCGCTGCCAACATCCCTGATGGGAGGAAAGAGGCCTGTTCTGGAGTTCAAGTGCTCAAGTTCAGGTTGGAGTCATCAGTGGCAATGTGGTCACCAAGGTCACCGAGAGGATGAAACAAAAGTAGACCCGGCTAGTGTGTGAATGCTTTAAAGGGGTGACAGAAGGTCATGATTGTGGTGCTCATGTGATCCCTAAAACCCCCAGAGGTGACTTCCTATTTTGTTTATTTGTTTATTTATTTATTTATCTTTTCCATTTCATGTCTGCATATGTGGTATGCATTCATGTGTGTGCATGTTTTGCGTTTGTGTGTGTGTGTGTGTGGGCCCATGCTAGGTATCCACATGCTGGGCCAGTACCCTGCCACTGAGCCCCCAGGACCCAGGGTGACTCCACACAGCAGTGTACACAGTTGCTCGTGTAAATCTTCCTTCCCAGAGATGCATTTGACCTATCTCAGACAGGAGAGGCAGGTAGCACCCCTCCTTCCTCAAGTGGAGACACGGACCGGAAGGATTAGCGCGCTGTTCCGTGTGGGCTCATCTCAGGCCCATGGACCATCCATGGATGCCACTTGCTCTACTGTGTGTTTGAAAACAGACACGGCTTCCTTAAGAAGGTTCCATATGAAGCCTTACTGCAGTGTCTACATTTTCTCCTAGTAGGGACACGGCGGGGGGGGGGGGGGGGGGTGCTGGCCCCAGCCCCAAGGCTAGGGACAGGAGACAGAACGTGTTGCAGCAGATTCACCAGGTGGATAGTGATTCACCAGGTGGATAGTGAAGACGTCACTCAACTTTTGGAATTTGTTTTCTCGTAGCTTAATTTCACTCGAATTCTTCCTTGGGAAGCAGCCACACGAGGTTCTGTCTGTAGCTGCTACTGTTAATCTCTTAGGGGAAAGGTGACTATCGTAGGGTTTCTAGTGCTGCGGCAAAAACCATGACCAAAAAGCAAGTCGGGGGAGGGAAGGGTTTATTGTGCTTACACTTCCACACTGCTGTTCATCACTGAAGGAAGTCAGGACAGGAACTCACACAGGGCAGGATCCTGGAGGCAGGAGCTGATGCACAGGCCATGGAGGGCTGCTGCTTACTGGCTTGCTCTCCATGGCTTGCTCAGCCTGCTTTCTTATAGAACCCAGGACCACCCGCCCAGGGATGGCCCCACCTCCCCCATTGATCACTAATTGAGACAATGCCCTACAGCTGGATCTCATGGAGGCATTTCCTCAACTGAGGCTCCTTCCTCTCTGATGACTCTAGCTTGTGTGGAGTTGACACAAAAATCTAGCCAATACGGTGGCCTTCAGGGATTTGGCTCCACCATTAGCAGGATGCTTTGCTTGATGTGCGCCCTACAGGTTTTGTTTTCTTATATGGCCTATTCTCCTTTCACACAGACTTCCTCTCCAGTTGCCACGAGTGCCAGAGCCACAGTAAGTGTTCAGGTAAGTGAGCAAGCCTTGGCTCTGTCATCCGTAACGTGAGGGTGCAGTGTTCCCACACCTCTTGCATTTACTTTGAGGATCAGCATTTGACTTGTGAACTGTCGCCAAGCCCAGGAATAGACTTAATAATTATTCCTATGACCACTCCTGCTCAAAAGCAAAAGAGAGACTGTGAAACCACAGGCCCTGGGGCTGAAGGGATGGCTCAGCAGTGAAGGGCACTTACCTAAGACCCCCGTTTGGTTCCCAGCACTCACAGGATAGCTTAAACTGCCTGCAACCCAGTTCCTGAGGCTCTTACGTCCTCTTCTGACCTCCGCAGGCTCCTGCATGTATAGGTCCGTATAGATACACAACAGACATACAAACAAACAAAAACAGACACATGTACGTAGGCAAATTCACAGAGCACAGAGAAAAGCAGCCAGAGATAGAAGAGTTTATACTTATGCTTGTATCTGTATGTTGGTAACCAGACAAAACCCATCTGCAGCAATAGACTTCAGAGTAGTGGTCACCCACTACTCTGAGGTTTGGGGAGCATTCTAAGTCTTGATCTGAGCATCAGTTATATGTACGAAATATTATTCTGCAAACAGTCCTCATTCTGCATATTGGTGACATGAATTTTTACTCTTTCATAAAAATCACATAATGTTATGGGACCCAGTGTTGTATTTGTTGCATATATATGGTTTTGCATATTGTCTTTAGTCTAATTTCCAAAAAAAAAAAAAAAAATCTGCAAACCTCAGACCTTATGGTGCTACAAGCATAACTGTTAACAGTCAGAGTAAAGTACACACTTGAAAACTGACTAATGTGTTTAATACAAATGTTTTCAAAATAATTTCAGATGGCATGGGGTATACTAACAGCACTGACTTTTGTTTTCTCTCTATACGCTATTCTTTTTAATATAGTATTTTTATTTGTTCCTTTTGAATTTCATGCTTGCGCACAGTGTGTTGCAATTATATTCATTCCCCACTCCCAACTCCAGCTCTTCTCAGATATCCCCACACTCCTCTCCCCTGGAAACCTCATGTCTTCCCCCCTCCCCCTTAATAACCCACTGAATCTAAACTGTGCTGCCCTTACACACACAGTTTTGGAGCCAACCACTGGAGTATGGCCCAAGGACCAAACCGCTGAAGAAAACTAACTCTCCCCCTCCTGAAAGCCATTTACCGTCAATATCTCCTCAACTAGTTGTGGCAGCTCACATGCCCTGCCTCGAGCTCTGCTAGATGACTGACCGGCTTCATCTTGTGCAGACAACCACAGCTACTGTGGGCTCATGGTGGGATGCTCCTGTCTTGAGCATCAGACCCTGTTTTGCCCTAGTCTCCCTTGACTTCTGGCCCTTCTGCCTCTCCCCACTCTTCTGAAACATTCCTTGAGCCATAGGGGAGGAGGCAAAATATAGAGATCCATTCACAACTGAGCACTCTACAGGCGCTGATTCTCTGCGCTTTGACTAGCTGGGTCTCTATGTTAACCGCCATCCACAGTACAGAGAGAGATAGAAGAGAGAGAGAGGAAAAGAAAAGAATTGACTTTTTCAGACAGGAGGCAGATGGCATCCGACTGTGGCTGTGACGTGTACCTTGACTCTTCTGAGAGATAGTTTGTGCTTCTGTTTCCTGGGACTCCTGCTCAAATTTTTTTTTTTTTTTTTTTTTAGTTGAGCATTTTTCTAGTAGATGATCACCATTCCAAAATAGATTAAACATTAATTAGATCCTAGGAGAGCAAGTTACCAGTCATATATGTTACAAATATCTTTTGAAGTATTTCTCCAATGCATCCAGGGCCCATACACCTTTTTGTTGGTTTCTTTTTAATCACTGACTGTACCCTCTATTCTCGAAGCATCTGTGCTTCCCTGACCCTGTTTTATCTTTCTGAGCTAGGATTGTGGCCCCTCTGTTGGGCTGGCAGCCGGAATCCCATCCCTGCTGGCCACAGCTCTGCTGGTGGCCTTGCTGTTTACCTTGATTCAGCGAAGAAGGAGCTTCGATGGATCCATTGAGGTGATGGCTGCTTCCTTGGGGGTGAATGTTTAGCTCGAATCAGCATCATCAGATGAAAAGAATATGAGGGAAGACAAGAGACAAAAAAAGTGATGACGTAGCTGTCCATGTTAAGACCAGAGAATGTGTGTGGACCCCTGACATCCCATTCAACATGCTTTCACAGCATGATATACCTGTGTCAGGTAGCCTCAGGGCTCCAGTTTCACTCTCTACTCATGAACAGTTGTGCTTGTTTTTATACTGGTAGATGTTAACATGGGAGATAGAAAGCCTGGGCTCTAATCCTGGACGATGTGAACCTAGACAGGTGACTCAGCATTTCCTATGCCTTGGTTAGTTCAGCTCTGTCATGGGTATCACAAAACTCTCCTCTCAGGCCGGGGGTGTAACTCATGACCCGGTGCTTGCCTTGAATGTGCAAGGGTGTGGGATCCACCCCCAGCACCCCAAACAACAATAAGGAACCCTAGCACATGCACACAAACACTACCTACTGTGGGGGGTAGGGACAGTTGTAAGGGCAGCCTGAGGCAATGGGGGATAATACCATTACGTCGTGGATACACATGTACTGACAGGCTAGAAACTGGATATGTGGTAAGAAGTACTGTGGGGGATGGTGACATTATTTATTTAGGCAATAGTTTAACTTTTGGTGTTCTTCAAAATGACCTAGAAGGCTGAAATATATCAATCAGCAAGCCAATGAAAGCAGGAATTTCTGGAGCTGGAGAGATGGCTCAGTAGTTAAGAGCACTAGTTGATTTTCCAGAGGAACTGGGGTTCCATTCCTAGCACCCACTTGATGGCTCACAACCGCCTGTACCTTTAGTCCTAAGGGATCCAACACCCTTTTCTGGCCTCCACATGTATGTGGTATATACACATACATGCAGGCAGACACACAAACACATAGATAGATAGATAGATAGATAGATAGATAGATAGATAGATAGATAAGAATTTCTAATGGTAGAATAGTGTCATTGTCCTAAAAACATTTAGGGGAGCTGGTTTGATTGTTTGTGGCAGTGGGGATCAAGTCCAGGATTTACCAAGTACTGGGCAAGAACTCTACTCACTGGCCTCTCAACCCAATACAATTTTTATGATGTCTATAGTCCTCCTGTGCATTGGTAGAACAACATCCTTAATTAATAATAAAATAGAATAGCTTAAAATTGAACAACAAATGTGAATGAGGTCTCTTGACCTCTCTATCAACCGTTACAGGGCTGGTGGTGCTAGCAGCAATGCATGCACTGAGCAAGGGGCTGGGATGAAGTAGGATGGCTCAAGGTTTTGCCATGCTGTTTAAAACAGCAGCTTAAAACTTTCAGCTTCTGGAATTCCCATTAACACCTCATGATTACCATTGGCTACTGGTAACTGGGAATATTTCAAGAGCACAGGAGGATTACTGTAACCCAAAATGTATGTCAGTGTGCAAAGCAGAGTACAGAGAACCCAGCTACCGGCTCACAGCCAGTCTTGTTCCGTGTCTACTCCTGTTCGCATCTTCACGATCCCAACCCTGGAACTATTGTTGAGTAGGAATGCTTCTTGGGTCTCTCTGTTCATTGTGCTCAAGGTGGGCTCTTGTCTGCATGCAGGTTGTGTTTTAAAGGCTTCTGGCAAGTCTGATGTGCACTGTGGTTTAAGACACAACAATTTGAGTGGTTGCAGCTGTGGTCCTTCTCTACTGATTTGCTTGTTCATTTGTTTGTTTGTTTGTTGATAACCACTTTAGGAAAGTGAGAGACCATGTGAAATTTCAGAACTCTATGACAATCCCAAAATATCCGAGGTAAGAACTTTTGATTGTAATCCCCACGTGTGACTGAAAGTTAGCAGGAGAAAGGTTTTTAAGCCTCACTCGCTCACAGGTGCCCTGTGAGGGCCTGGGAAAGGGAGACAACTAAATACAGGAAAGCACACAGGAGGTGATCGGTGTGTCTTATTGACCACCGAATTCGAAGTGGTAAAGTCTGACCTAGCACACAGAAGTCACCATGTTCTGTGCCCAGTACTGCAAATTAATACAGCAACAGCAAAAAAGGAAATCAACTTAATATATTTTTGTTAATGGACAAAGGAAATAGATATACGGCCATCTTAATAGGAGAAAAGGTGTTTTTAAAGGGCAAGTCACTTATGCTAAAGCTCTTTATTTATTTAGTGTGTGCACATGCATATGTTTGAGCATGTATACCATGGGTGTGTGTAGGGTCAGGGGACAATTACAGGTGTCAGTCCTTACCTCCCACCTTGCTTAAGAAGAATCTCGTTGTTTTCCTCTGCGGATGCTTGTCCATAAGCTCTGTGGTATTCTCCTGTCTCTGCTGCCCATCCTCCTGTCAGAGTACTGGGATTACAGAGCTTACACTATGCCTGGCTTTTATGTGGGTACTAGGGATTCAAACTCAGATCCTTACCCTTGCCAGCAGCTACCATTTCTCCCCATCCCTTGATATAGACTTTCAAGGTAAGCTAGAATAAGAATTTCACTTGAAAAGTGACACCTAAGTGAATTGTCTTTAAGATCAGAAATAAATCAAGAGTGTTTGCCACTTGTATTCAGCACTGGACTTTAGGTCCTAACCTACAGAATGGGATAAGAAAAAGCAAATATAACATTGAGAAGAAAGGAGTAAAATTATCATAATTTGCAAATCATAGATGGCTGTCAACATAGAAAAACTCAATAATCTACAGATAAATTATTGGACTTAGAAAAACAGTTGAATAAGTTTATTGTATATAAAAACAAAACACAGAATTTATCTGTGAGGTAGAACACTCAGTGCACATGAACAAAGGCTTAGGTTTGCTTTCTAGCACTGAAAAAAAATTCAAAAGCAATGTGCATTTCTTAATATCAATAGCTATCAGATTAAAAAAACAGGAATTTTATAAAATCCTATTTTACAGTGGTATTAAAATATATAGAATGCCAAACAACAAAACTGATAGATGTCTAATCCTAGCATGGAAATAATAAAACCTAGTAAAAATCACTCAACAATAGCTAAGTTATGAAGGTTGTGTACTGTTGTCCTGGATAGGAAGACTCAACTACCTAAAGATGTCAGCCACCACAAATTCCTAGTACTTTCTGTATCTCTGTAGTCAGTGTGGAGCTGGAGGAATGGCTCTGCAGTTAACCATACTTACTGCTTTTTCTGAAGACCTGGGTTCAGTTCCCAACACCCATGTGACATCTCACAATGGTCTATAGCTCTTACTCTAGGGCATCTGTACTCTGCTGACCTCCTTGGATACCAAGGACATGTGCTTTTAGGCAAAACATTCGTATGCGTAACATTCTTAAAAAACTAAAATAAACACATTTGTTATATAAATCCTAACCCACTTTTCAATAAACTTAGTAAGGTGCTAAAGTTTACAGGGACTAAGCATGAGAAGACTAACAAAAAATGAACACATGGGACAAATGAAAGAGAAAAGCAAGAGCGTAGGTTTGAATCCAACCATATCAATGATTAGATGTAAGTGGCCTAAATAGCTTCAGTTACAAGGCAGAGAGAGTCAGTTTGGCTGTAAAGGCAATGCCCAAATTTATAAGAATCTACAGAACAGCACTTTATAAAGACTTGAATAGATTAAAAGTTAGAGGATAGAGACACTTTGCCAACAATAATTAACCAGAGTTGTATGGCATGAAAAATCCTTGAAGGCAACAGCTCAGGCAACTGTAGATGCCACTCATTCCCTGCCACACATGGGTCAGTGTCTTTCCTCTCCCAGTTCCCACCATCTTGCCAACAATTGCTTCAAATGTTTGGTCTGAGTTTTGCTGTTTCTGTTCAAGGGTCAATATGGTTCTTTGAGGCTATCTTGGCCAGAAGCAGAAGTCTGTACTATATTCTTTTTAAAATCTGTTTGTGTTCTCAAGAATCCTAGGGGGTCACCCACACATGAGATGAACCCACGAGGTGCCCAAGAAAGCCACATATATGTGAAGACTGTCTCTGGAAGTGAGGAGCCCCTGCCCGACACCTACCGTCCTCCCGAAGAAATAGAGAGAAGAAGAGGACTGTGGTGGCTCGTGCCCAGACTGAGCCTAGAATGATATGGCTTTATCAGGACCGGGAACAGAAACAGGGCTGAAAACCCCAGTGATCTGTGCTTGGGATCTATGCTTGGAGAGGTGAGGAGCTGCAGCCTCTCATTCCACATAAATTTCATTTATAGATCTGCGATGCCTCTTTAGGGGGTGGCTGCAATAAGGTTCATTCAACCTCAGACCTTTCGGTTTAACTGCCCCTACAACCCAGGTGAGCTGCTGGGCATCCAGAGACATTTGCTTTTGGGAAATGGGTGTGGCTTCTGAGTGTCCTGCCTTCTCCTTTACCTGCTCCAACTCTTACCTTAAAAAAATATAATAAAGCGATGGGAGTTGGCTTTTCTGGGTACCTTGGCTAAAGCCAGCTTAGCACAACTTAGGACATGAGCAAACCTTATAGAAGACGTGTGAAAGAAGCCATTTCTTCTTTCTGAAGATCTCAGGGTAAAGTTCGCACGAGCCACACATGCCCTTACAAAAGGAAGCATGTGGCTGATTCGTGGCACACAGCAGAGAAGGGGTTAAGGACTTCGGTGTCAGACATGCCACTAAGCAGCTGCAAGAATTCTGAGGTCCCCTACCCTCCTCAAGACTGTTTTGGGTTTTATAAAAGAGGGGAGACTATTCTGTGCCTCATTTGGCCATTTGGGAAAAATTACAAAAGAAATAAAGGGAAGTGGTTTCCACTTAGTAGACACTAGAAGCCTTAATTCTCACTCCTCACCCTGTTTTCCCAGCTCTTCTCATTCTGCTTTGTCTGACCAAGTCAGGCAGTTGCTCTGCAGTGCTGTTATCCATAGTCACAAAGTCAACAAGGAGATCTTGATTTTTATCATTCTCCGTGGCCTGCAATCCAAATTGTTGACATTTAGAAATAACTCTAATTGCCGCTAGCAGCCTACTCACTTCAACTCTGGACACCATTTGTCCTTATGTGTCAACCAAGTTCCTCATTCTAAGTACAGAGACCTGTGTTACACCTGACGTGTTGACCTTTAGGATGCCAAAGTCTTGGGTGGTCAGTCTTCATTGCCAGCTTGGTGGGATTTAGAAACACCATGGAAACACAGCTCCAGAGGATTTAGCTGAGCAAGAAGGCCTACATGAATGTGGAGAGCACCATTCCACGGCCTGGGGTTCTGGAGTGAATAAAAGGGAATCCAAGTTGAACACACGGAATTCATCACTCTCTGCTTCCTGACTATAGATAAAATGTGTGACCAGCTCCTGCCTCTGTGCCTCCCTGCCATGATATACTATACCCTCAAACTGTAAGCCAAGATAAGTCTTTCCACCCTTTAGTTATTTTATCAGACATTTTATCATCATAATAATGAGAGAAGTAACTAATATAAAATTGATATTCATGTTTTAATGAGGCATTTTGCTTTGAAGTATCATAAAGAAGAGATGTTTGTGAGGGAGAAAGATCAAGAGGACCAAAGATGAACACAGGGCCAAAAGGATGGGTTGGTATGTCCACACCTGTCATACAAGGGGAATCTACAGATGATTTCACCAGCTTGGGCCAGGCCTTTGCCTTCACTTCCCCAGATGGCTTCCTGGTGGCCTGGTCATGGCTACCATGTGCATGGCCACTGCCTTGGAGCAAGCTGTGCTTCGAGGTGGAAGAGCTGAGGTCTCAGGGCATCTCTGGAAACATCCACAATCTCCAAGAGCCACCTTGGTATTCCTGGGAGCCATTTTTTTTTCATATGGGGCCTCTGGTTGTTCAGAAATGGTCCAATTTTTTGAGCAACAGAGAATGGTTCTGTAAACCCAATGGCCACCACACACACACTCTTCAAGGACCTCTGTAATTCAGTTATGTGTTGTTCTGTGGGCCCAGCTTCTAGATAAGTGCATTTGGACATCTTCAGGCAGCCATGTCCAGGCGTGCTAAACATTTATTGCTCTTACATGGCAGGGAAGGACCTTGGACTTCCTGCCTTGAGGAGACTGTAGCTTTGACGGTCAGCTCCAGCCCAGAATGTTGGTCACCTAGAGCCTCAGTTCTATACTTATAAAACTGACCCCAGCAGGCAGTTGTGAGGCCTATTTGAAATGCCTTGTAACTTATAAAATAAGGTGTAACTGTATCTTGGATACTTTATTTTAATTCTACTTACAATCAATTGCTTAGAATCTTTATTTCAAATTGTTTCTACTAAACTTGCAAGGTTCAGTTTTTCTGTTGGTATAAAATTTATTTTGTAATAAGGTGAAAATAAATGACCATTGTATGAATCTACGAAGTATCCATGGCTTTTCTTTCCCTACATTAAGGGTGCAACTTTTCCCTTTTCTTTTTTCTGCCTCCATCCCTCGGGTGCTGGCTAGAACCTAATTGTGCTTTCTCTAGCACTTTGGGCTTCTGTACTTTCTCTAGAGCCCCCTCCCTGCCTTTGTAGCAGGACTCCACTCTCCACGCTGAAAATTCAAGCATTGTGGTGTTTCATTCCTTCTTCCGTTCTCGTCCTCTCAACAACGGATACATCGAAAAGATCTGGATTCGGGGCGTTAGTCAGTCCCTGCTCTGATTCACCAGCCGGCCCTGTTGACTCTTCAGCGAGCTTTGAGGAAGTGGTTTCTCTAGTCATGGGGGGGGGGGTCCTGAATGAGATCCTGTGGTAGACTGGCATCTCTGACTCCAATGAGGCCAGGCAGGGAAAGAACCTGGGGCCCCAGCCTCCCTGAATTTAGTTTGCATCATCCTTAAGACACCTGCTGTTAATCCCCAGCCTGACCACAGCAGACCTTCCTGGAGACCTGTGCAGCCACAGTCATTCAAAGAACATCACTCAGCACCTCTCCATGCCGGCCCTGGCCCCAGTTATGGCTTTTTACCTCAAAGGCTCACACATGACTCGAAGCAGCCTGTGTGTTGGTTGAATAACAACCAACTACATGGCATAGGTTAAAACCAGTGTCCCCCAATTCTCTCTCATTTCCAAACCTGAACGCGAGAGGAGCAGGGAGTGATGGATAAAGCCAAGGTATCCGGAGAAGCATCTGTCAGTCATCAGGAGTGAGAAGACCTGTCTCTTCAAGGAGTTTGAGGCATGTCCTGCTACCCTGCTGGTAAACCTCTGGGTTCCCTGAGGATTTCTTGTTCCTAGACTCCTTAAGGTATTGGGAGAAGCTTGGATTCAAGTGGCCCTGTCACTTCAGGATCTCACTTCAGACTTGTGGCCTGGATGCCCATGAGACCTGGGCTCTGGGAGGACTGATGTCAGTTTCAAGACTTCCCAAGAGCTTACACAGCTTTTGTGTGCCACAGATTGAAGTCTCATCTCCCCCATTACTGCCTGAGTTAGCCTTGGGGAGCTCTGCTGAAATATGAATGTTACCAGGGAATTTTGGGGTCTCCTCTTTATATATTCTTAACCCTGTTAATAAAAGAATAAAAAACAGCTCAGAAGGAAGCTTGGGAACATTTTTTTTATTAGCATTTAAGAAAAAAAAAGCTGTAAATCTTGATGGGTGCATGGAAGAGAGAGATGAAGAGGAGGAGAGAAATCCAGGCCTCTTTCAGTTAGGCAGGAAGGGCAGCAGTCACATGGTAAGGGGAGGGGTATGGCTTCAGAGAAAGAACAAGAAGGCCCAGAGCTTCAGAGACAGCAGGCCCAGGCTTCGGCCAGTGTCCAAAAGACAGAAAAAAAAGCTGTTGTTGTAAAGGAAAAGTCATGCTTTTCTGAGTATTTCCTCAAAGCAGACAGGCTTTGCGATGATGACTCTATAAGCAACTCTACCGAAGGGGTGTTTCAGGGAGGCAAAAGTACACTATCTCCTTAAAGGGACAAGTATTCCTCCTGCCTCCTTAGTGAGATTTTAGCCTTACTGAGGGGTAGTCTCTTGGCCAAATGATAGGCAGGCCCAGATGAATTATCTCTTAAGGGAGGTCCAATAGTATGAAATATTCTAATCTTTTGGGGTAGACCAGACTGTCTGTTGTCACTCAAAGGCCAGAGGTATTTTGTTCTTTTGACCAGGCTTTAAGCAATGGCAAAGCTGTTTGCCTTTCTTAGTGTTACCAGCAAAATGGGAGGTGGGGGCCGAAGCTCCAGTGGCCTCTAAGAATGTGGAGAAGAGGCATGTGGATAATGCTGATCAACCCTTTACGGGGGGGGGGGGGGAAAGCACCATAAGCTGTGCAGCCAGATTCCCACCATCCCCCTAAGATCTTCCTTCCACATCCCCTGGAAACAGGCTGATACTCATCCATTGGCCTCCAGCTCTATAGCAGGCCAAGGACACTGACGCAGCTGCAGTAGATGGCCTTTGGGTCCCTTCAGGACGTAGGGTCTGTCTAATCTGTGCCCCCCTGTAGAAAGCAAGAGGGAAGAATGGATATGGTAAGGGATGTCCCAGAGGCTGCCTCCCTCCCTTGGGTCTTCTGAGATGAAGAAAGCCACACTGTCTCTTTAAGAGCTCCAGGTGGGAAAGGGAGGCTTTCCTGAAGGGTTTAGGAAGTTGCTTTTGCATCCAAGAAAGAGCAATGAGAGTGCATCGCTGATACAGGTCAGTGATGGTCAGGAAAGGAACCATGGAGACAACTAGGAGTCAGCACCCTGCCTCCCATAACTCCCGGACCCTGAGTCCCCTTGGGAACCTCTGTCGTGCTAATAACACCCATGTATCCCTTTGAAATCAACCCCAAGCTCTTACTCTTCCACGGGTCCATTTGTGTTTAGAAATATAAGAAGCGAGCAAAGCAAAGACCATGTCAACCGTCTGTTTTCTACTTTTATTGGTGGTATACACAGATTCAGACCCACAGAGCTTAGGCGAGCTGTGACGCACATGGGTGAGCTATGAAGCAGTGATGACAAGACCTTTTTTTTTTTTTTTTAAAGCAGACCACGAATTCTACACAGCAGTGGGACAGGTGGCCTGAGAATGTGGCCCATGGTCAAGCCTCCAGAGTGGCTTCGGAATATTCTCTATGCATAGTACACTTAGGCTCCGCTTGCTGCCTACATTCCCTGAGGCCTACAGAAGCCCAGACTTTCCCAAGCCGTCTTTCGCTAACACGCAGCACAGTTTGTCTAACCTGGAAGAAACAATGTCAACAACTCCCTCTCAGGCATTTCTTTCCCATGGTTCAATGTAATCCAATCCCAGATGGGCAAAGATGTCTTCTTCACTTTCTGCTTCAAGGAACACCCTCTGGAAGCACAAGGAGAGACACACGTGTTCAGGAGGTTTCCTTCGGCATCTTGGTGGAGACTTGTTGAACTGTCTCCTTAGAATGAGTGGCAGCTCAAACATCCCGCCTGCCTCTGAATATAAAAGGTCAGAGGGAGCCAAGCTGGAGAGACTCACATCTGGAATCCCAGCACTTGGGAGGCAGAGGCAGGAGCCTGGGCTGTAGGGTGAGTCCTCAACTCAAGCAAACACATAAAGAAATGAAAACAAAAAACAAAACCAAACGACTGCGTTACTGCTTTCTGTAGTTTTGACACTTTCCTGTCCAAAGGTGAAATGGTGACAGTCTTCCCCGACAGCAAATGACACATGGATATATTTCCTGAGTCCCTAATTCTTCTTATTTGTGTGTGTATGTGTAGATGCATGTTTATGTGTATGTGTTCACGTGTGTGCGGATGCACATGCATTTGAGTGTTACACATGAAGGGCAGAAGCAGAAGTCAGCCCTGGATGTGTCTTCCTCTAATATTTCTCCTCTCTCTCTCTCTCTGAGAGAGGACTTCTCACTGAATTACTTACAATTTACTGGGATGTCAGGAATCTGCTTGTCTTGGCCTTGTCAGCTCCTAGAGTTACAGCTCTGCCCTCCACTCCTGGCTTTACATGGTGCTAAGGATTCGAACTTGGTCTCTTGTTTTCAATGTGTGTGTGTGTGTGTGTGTGTGTGTGTGTGCGTGTGCGTGCATGTGTGTGCTTTGCCTGCACATATGTCTATATACCGCATACATGATGCCTGGTGCCTGAGGAGGCCAGAAAAAAGGCATCAGAGGCCCCACGTGGATGCTGAGAATCAAAACTGGATCTTCCATAAGAGCAGCAAGTACTCTTAAGCCCGGAGCCATCGCCCCAGCTTAGACTCCTATTCTTAACCATAACTGCTCTTTGAAACCACTTGATGGAGTCCATCTTTCTGTCTTTCTTTTTCTAATAAAATACATTGAAGCTTTACTCACACTCCAGTTTAGTGAACTCAGAAGCTCTGGAGAGGTCTTGCTCTCAACCTATTTAAAGTTCTGGGTTATTCTAATGTACAGCAGAGGGATAAACAGCTAGTAAGGGCAGGGTAGTGTATGTCCATTCATGACCCACTCGAAATGCGACTGTCCCTGCGCTGGATGGATATTCCTGTGACATTTATTATTTACGGGGATCCCTGACTTTCTTTGGAGTAAATGACTGCAAACACCAGGAATACAGCTGGCTCAGTTCCGTTGGCCTCTGTGCTGGCTTCTAGAGCACCATCAGCTTACCGTCTGAGCCAGCAGCCCGGCAGCTGCACCCTGGGCCAGGGAGGGATTGTCCCCTCCGGACTCTTTTTCAGCTCCTCTCAGCTGTGATCCGTGGAGAACAGAACATTTGTAGCAAAGGGAAGCAAACCCGGACACTAAAATCAGTTTGGGTTGGGGTAGGGACAGGGTAAGAGGGCTCAGGAGGTGAAGGTAAGGTCCTTGCTGCCAAAGCTGAGGGCCTGAGTTCAATTCCTAGAACCTACATGGTGAGGGAAAACTGACTCCCCCGACTACCGCGTATACATCTTGATGTCTGTGCACCCATTTCTCCCGCTATAAAACATAAAAAAAATGCAATAAAAGTTGTTTTAAAAATCTGTTCAAGGGAAGGGCTTGGGGGTTAAGGGTCAGTAACCATCTCAGGAAGGAAACACTACCTTGGTCTTGTCATACAGAGCGTGGTTGTCCAGCATCATCTTCTGCTCGTGTGTGGCGTAGCGCCGCAAGTCTCTCTCAAACTGCTGCAAAGAGAATTAAAACAAATCACCGTGCAGTCTAGCTATTTCCGGTATGCAGTGTTTAGATCTGCCCGGGGCCCTTGGAGCTTTGAAAACTGCCATCTCTAGCAGATATTCTGTGGTGACTTTCTTCCCCAGGGTAAAGCTCCTGGGCGTTGAGCCGTGATGTCCCTGTGCTAGAACAGAAACTCGGTGTGAACAGGAAGCTGATTGGCTTGGTCCCTGGTCAGTCAGTGTCCATCAGGCAGCAGACGGGGAGTAAATGTCTGTGGAGGGGATAAACGACACTGTGATCGTTGTTTCTGTAATACCTGGTTCAGAGTAAATGGTGCCTGAATTGTTTTACGCTTTCAAGCAGCAGTATTATAAACGAGGATGACGAGTGGGGAGATCTTGGCCCAGATCTTGTGCTTGTGTATGTGTCCTTGGCACATATCCAGCCTCTCTGAACTTTGCTTTGTCCCAAAATGGAGTATATGTTAAGGTCCCTTCCTCTTTGATGTCCACCCAAACTGAGATTCTGTGAAGAGTCACCTGCCACAGAGGGACACCTCTCACGATCAGGGGTACACCCTGGGGTTCCGGGGAGCAAATCTGAAGCCTAGGACATGTGACCGGCGAACTTTAGAAGCTAGGATACACACACGCTGCTGCAGGTTTCTTGAGAGAAACCCAGTCTTTTTCTTTCGGATTAGGGAGAACGCCTGGGACAGTCGCGCCCTCTAGTGGCAATAAATGATTTCCTCCTTGCTGGAAAGTTTCTCGGGGCCAAGCGAGGCTTTGCCTCCCAGAAGCCCAGAATGTTTGCCGGGAGCAGATTCGCTAGCACAGGTCTGGCAAGTTCCGGGTCCTGCTTAGCTCACCCCAGCTCTTGACTGGGTAGCGTCTGCCCACAGCTCATACTGGTTCTGCAGTACCTGGACAGGCTGGAGGTTTAATGGGGTAAGCTGCTCGCAGCTCCCAGCCCAGTGAGGTTTGGGAATGAGAAAGGCTCTCTGTGCATGCAGAGAGAAATTCAATTCACTCAACAAATATCTGCCGAGTGCCAGTTCCTCAGGGGGCTGAGAGTCTAGCAGGGGACACAGAGGCTTTATAATAACAGAAGAAATAAGCAAAGTATGGGCTCATAGGAAGTCAGTGCTGCAGACCTACTGAGCAGGGCTGCCGTGGTGGGCATCACTGAACAAAGGCTTGAAGGAGGTGATTAAAACCCCAAATGGCAGCACAATGGTCAAGAGAGTTGTGCTGGACAGTTCAACTTGACACATGTAGAGTTATCTGAAAGGGGGAAATACAAATTTAGGAAATGCCTCTGAAAGATGGAAGTGTAGAACATTTAAAAAATTAGGGATTAATGGGGGATGGCCCAGTGCATTGTGGGTGGCGTCATCCCTGGGACCGTGGTTCTGAGAAAACAGGCTGAGCAAGCCATGGGGAACAAGCTAGTAAGAGCACTCCTCTGTGGCCTCTGCATCAGCTCCTGCCTTGCTTGAGCTCCTGTCCCGACTTCCTCTGATTATGAACAGTGATGTGGAAATGTAAGTTGAATAAACCTTTTCCTCCCCAAGTTTTTTGTTCATAGTGCTTAATCACAGAGACAGTGATCTTAAGACAAGGGTCTAGTTCTTTCCTGAGCCCCAGAGATTTGTTAAGGGGCTGGGAGGGGAGGTATGTGTCACACTGTCACACAAGCATCATGCTGGGAACTGAACTACCGGCGAAACAATTGGTTAATTTAATTGTTTAGAAGCTTTGATAAATACTAGAAAGATCAGTTTTCCTCTGGATGCTGCAGACTCAGACAACGTGTGGCCGCTCTGATTCATGTGAGCTGCCATTCCCTGCCCATTCCTGCTTCTCTCACTTGTGTTGGGGGGAGGGATGTCAGGCTGTACCCACTTCCTCCTCCTTCATAGAAAAGCCTCATAGAGCTTCCCTTCAGTAGGAACAGTGGGTTGGCTGGAGCCTGGGCAGGGTGGGGGGGAGGTCACGAAGCCAGCAGCAGGAAGGAAGAGCAGGTGTGGCTGAGCCGGCAGGCCCTCCTACTCTACCAGTGATCCCGGATGCTACCCAGGGGAAAACTAAGGGGTGTCAGATGTCCTAACAGGACCGTGGCTTTAGCTAGGGCCAAGGAAGACACTTAGGAAGGCCTTGGCATGGTGCAGGCAGCAGCGCCCTGTGTTTATGGAGCCCTGAGCCTGTCCCCGGCTGCTCAGTGCCAGCTGCTTTGTTCTGTGAATATTCTGCTGTGCTGCACCATTGCAGATGCTTAGCCAGAGCAAAGAGGAGATGATGAGGTTGCTGTCTCATTGAGCCCTCAGCCGAGCCCTGTGACCTTAGTGGTTCTGCGAGGCCTGTTTTTATCTCAGATGCAGAAAGAAGGGGGCAGGGTGGGGGAGTGTTGTTTTCTTGAAAGCTGCACAGCCAGGGATAGAGCAGTCTTTAGCCTCTTAAATCCCAGTGTTTCTTTTTGGGAAAAACAAAATAACAACAACAACAAACCCTTACTAGTTTCCTGCATCGCCTTTGGAGACCTGCTCACGCAGGTAGAAGCCGGTAGACAAAAGCCGGTAGAAGCCACAGTACCATAGTGCAGCTGTGCACTGCTGCCCTTAGAGGGCGCCACTCACATCAGTCTCAGGAAACTTATCCAAGGTCACTCAGCCGGAAAGCCACAGGGCTAGGCCCTTCAGCAGGCCTAGGGCCTGAATCATCTGAGTTACTCACCACTCTGCTGCTTCCTGGGTTTCAGCGGCTCTCACCTAAGACAGCTCCTAGTTACCTAGGGGTTTTTCAAACGTATGTGTCTGGGGCTTGGCTGCCTAGAGTTTCTGATGTAGTGGTATACATTGGGGTGGAGAATTTATAAATCTAACCCGTCCCCAGGCTGGCTCGGTGAACCACACATTGGGAATAACTGTTCTAAATGAATCTAACTTGTGTGACATGCCACAGTTTAAAGGCTTGGGACGTGGTCCCCTCCCTCTCTCTTCTTTCTATCCTGCTGCCACCAGCTCTCCTTTACGCCAGGAAAGCTAACAGCAGACAGCTTACCCTGGAGCCAGTCCATCCAAGCAAGGCGAAGGCCCTGCGCTCATAGGGGCACATGACCAGATCTACACGGATGGCCTTCCAGCTCTTTCCTTCCTGCTGGCCGCTCCCGTCACCGTCCACTCTCTGGTGGTGAAGCTTCAGGATCAGGAAACACTTCTGGAAGTGATCTAGAGCATCCACCTTCCTGCTAGGCAGCTTGAACTTTTCAAATGTCGACTCTATGTGGTCGCAGTACAAAAGCAGCCCCTGAAGAGCGATAGGAAGAGGTTAGGAAGGGTCCCAGGACTAGGGGGTGGGCGGGGCAACCTTGTGATATTACAATGGCTCTTCTTCAGGCGGTGTTTTCAGAGCTGAACAGACATGGGTCTACTTTTGTCCTTCCTTGCCCAGCAGCTAGGAGAGGAAGTGGTATACCGTTCTCAGGTTCTCTCTACAGAAGAGGAATTTCTCCATGAGAAAGGCTGAGCCCAAACCCCTCCATGATAAAACTTCAGAGCTTTCACCTCTCCTTGTTTGCCCTGCACCAGAAACAGAAAGTCACATGTTCCTTTTGTGTCACACTGACAATTGCCTGGAAGCCCAGGCCCAGTGTGGGGCATGGCGACCTGCTGCTTCTGTTGTTTTTGCAGTACTGGGGATTGAACCTGGGTACTTGCACTTGCTAGCTAGGCACTCTATCACTGAGTATACCCCAGCCCTGGAGATGCTGCTTCTTCTGAGAAAACTATCTGCCCATCTTGGAGGCAGTGGGTGAAGGCCCATGAAGCCTGTTTCACCTCAAGTTTCTGCTCAGAAAATTAAAAAGTGATTCAAAGGAATTCCAGGCAAGTACCAGCCCTGGGAGTTTCTCTGCTGCACACAGTGGTAGCACTTGGCTGATAACAGATGAGGGCATTCTTGAGTGAATCGATCTGTAACTTGGCAGAGCTCTGACTGGGGTGTTCCACCTGGTCTGGGTGCTCTCTGCCTGGTACGGTCTCAGATGTGGCCCTACCTCCCCAGGCCAGCTTTCTGTCAGGTGTCCTTACTCTTTACAAGTCCCTTTCCTGTGCTCACTTCTCCCAATGTGATTCTTCTCCTCTGAAACTGATTTGAGGGTGGGCTCAGGCTTTGCCTTCAGTGCCAATGTTTGTCTTCGGACTGTCCTGGCTAGAAGGAGGCATTTCCTAACTATTCCTTCCCTCTGTTCCAAGGGTATGCAGGTTGGAGGAGTAGGGACTAGCGCAGTTCAGCTTTATGTCATACAAGAAGGACACTCCTCCTCCTTCAACTTAGTGGACCAATTAACCGTAGGCTACACCTAGCCAATGGTGTAAGAGCAGAAAGGGCTGTTAGGGAGCCGGGTGAGGAGTCCTCCAGCCAGGATTCTTTCTTGTCCTTTGTTTTCAGTCCTTTCCATATCGTTTTCAGAGGAAACAATCTGCTATTCAGACTCAAGTCAGTTTTCCAAAGTGAGGGAAGTCAGCCCTCCGTCAGCCCTCAGTCATCCTGGTTTCCAAATTCACAGATGCTCAAGTCCTTCATACAGAGTGGTAGATGAGCCACACACACATCCGTGTAGACTTTTAATCACTTCTAGATCAATTATTTTAACTAGTACTTTGTAAACACATGTGTCATTGTCAAACTCCATTGTTTAGAGATGTTGGGAGTGGTCCACACACACTCAGTGTAGGTGTGGGTAATTTTTTTTTCTAGTGCTTCTTCCTATCTGAGGTCATGAATCTATGAATTCAGAACCCAAGGTCATGGTCCTCTAAATTCCTTCCGGTTCTGGATAGTCTGGAATGGAACTCATGCCTAGGCCTCCTGCATTGCTGAGATGGTAAGCCACCATGACTACTTCTTACCATGACTTATATTCTTACTCTGTAGTAATTCTCAACATTTTGAATCTGTCAGAAGTTCCATGAACACGTGATGCCATTAGGGTCCCTGTACCCAGGTCTCACTCACCAGGCACGGATAGTCTTAGCAGGAAGACAATGGCACAACAACAAACACTGAGTTTCCAACCTTGGCAACAGGGCCTGGGGGAGAAGCATTCTGTGGCCTGTCAGTGAGAGTCTTTTATCTCCCCCTGCCCCACAGAACAGAAGACTGGGGAAGTGTTCTGACTCTTCTTTGTCATATCTTCTCCTGGCTGAGCTTATCTTGTCTATGCCTAGGGGTTCTGGTCATCCTGTGCCCATCCTCTTGAGAGGGACAGAGGGGCGTAAAATAGTCTCACAGATGAATTTGCATCTGAATCCACAATCTAGTTTTCATTTATAGCGCTCAATGCTCCGGGCTGGCTATTTCCAGTTTTCATTTTGTCTGGTCTTCTCTCTCCGGCCCATCAATGAGCTTGGCCATGCCCAGCAGATCCAGGAAGTGTGCTAGGAAAACTCTGGCCCAGCCTCCTCCACTCAGTCAGACCTATAGCTCCCTAGGGAAGAGCCCGTGGTCTCTCTAGGAAATGGCGGTTGAGTAGAGGGCCAGACGTCTTCAGCAGTGAGGTTACCTTAACCCAGCTTTGACCATTAACAATAGGCTGCCCTGTGGTGGTACCGTCCTGGGTGGTAGCTATTGGCCGTGACCTCTGCAGGGCCCAGCTTGCCTTCACTGGCTTCAAGCAAGATGCATACCTGTAGTTCACTGCCTAAAACCCAAAGCTACTCAGTCTCATGGCAGCTGTGTGGTTCCATGATGAGTTATTAAAGCAATGGAGAATAGTAGTCACTGTATAATGATCATGAAACACATAAAATTAACAATGCTCAGGCCTGGAGAGATGGCTCTGTGGTCAAAGCGCCTGCTGTGCACTTGTGGGGACCCGAGTTTCAGATCCCCAGAACCCACGTAAATGCGGTAGACATGACAGGCACTTGCGATTCGAGCCTGAGAAGGTGGAGACCAGGGATAGCCAGAGCAAGCTGAAGAGTAGGACCACCCATGTCGGCAAGCTTTGGGTTTGACTGAGGGCCCTGCCTCTGTGCATAAGGTGGAGGAGTCATCAAAGATGATTTTCAGCATCAACCTCAGGCTCCACATGCCACAAGTGTGCCTATGCATATGCAAAAACATGTACACACGTGCACACCCACACATGCATAAAATACACACCACACACACAATACATACATACATACATACACACAGCATGCAAATATACATATACGTACAACACACACATACACACACACACACACACACACAAATAAACAACAAAAAGCAATGCTAAGATGGTCTTGAATGGTTGCAGCTGTTTTGGTCTCCTTACCCGCTGTTTCCACAAGTCTGTGACTTTATGCAGGAGTTGCTGCTCTTCCTCCTCTGTGGCCTCTGGGCTGGTGATTAGAAAATCCACATCGTGCCCCATCATCTTACCCCTAATTTGAAAAGCACAAAAAGAAAATCAGTTTGACTTTTAGCCCTTCCTTTAAAAACAACAACAAACCCCTCTTTGTTTCTGTGTCCCAAGCATGAGATTCGTGGTACAAAATGCTCATAAGTTTTAAACGAGCTGTTCTTGGCTGTACATCTCTACTTCTTATAAAACAAATTTGTGACAGGGAAAGCTGTATGCAGTATATATTGTTGTGTGTGGAAGGAAAGAAAGTAAGAGATACTATGTCACACACTCACAGAAATATGTATGGCAGTCCACAGCAGACCAAGAGCTTTGGTCAGACCAAAGAGGGTAGGCTTCTTGGCATTATGGTATGGCTTAAGAGATTTTTCTTTGTCGTGTTTTTTAGGGACAGGATCTCATATGGTCTGGGCTGGACTTGAACACACTATGAAGCTGAGGATTGCCCTGGACTTCTTCTGCTCCTGCCTCCAAGTGCTGGGATTACAGGACTATGTCACCACACCTGGTTTACTGGATACCAGAAACCAAAGCCAGGGTTTCCTTGGTGCTCAGCAGGCACTCCACCAGCTGAGTGATGGACTCAACCACGTAGATGTTTCTTGAGCATCTACTTTGTGATCAGGCTCACACCCTGGTCTCCATGGGAACCAAGCCCTGCTGGCTCCACAGGGAAAGCACACGTGGCATAGTTGGCATTTGGAAAGCACAGAAGAAAGTCCCTAATCCAGCACAGAGCAAGAGGGAGTCAACGAGGGCTTTCTGGAGGCAGCAGCATCTGAATTGAGTTTTAAGGGGGGAGAAGTCAGACTGATGCCAGAACGTTTCAGCTGAGCAAAGTCACAGAGGCAAGAAACAGCTCTGTGTGCAAGGAAATGTCAGCTATTTGGGGCTCCCAACATGAAAGTTAGGGGGAGCCAAAAGCGGAGAGGGGCTGGCACCCACCATTTCAGAGGCAGGTAGAAGAGGCATGCTGAAAAAACTACAGCACTTACCTGCGGAACCCTCCCGTCACGGTGACCAGGGCATCTGGAAGAAATGCCGCAACCGCCTCTTTAACTAGCACGCTGACAGCCTCTGCCTCTGCCCTGCTCACACAGCTAATGAGGTCTTCGTAGTAGAGGAATCCTGAGAGGCCATTTGACAGGTCAGTGGAGAGAAAGGTCAATGGTAGAGGGTGCTGTCTCAGACAGAGCACCCAGAGCCAGACTCTGTACAGAGCACAGTAATGTATGGCATTGCCTTCTTCATTTGCTTGTGGGATTTTCATGGTTACAAAGGACCTCTGAGTTCTCATGGAGAAGTCTACACTGTCCCTATTAAGGGGAAAGTATTCAAGTCTTTCTGGAATCTAAGCCACTCTTATCTGATGTTATAATAAAGAACCAAAGCTGCTGCCTCCTCTTCTTCCTTCTCTTTCTCCTCTTCCTCCTCTGTTCTCAGCAAAGGTCCAGCTCTCTCTGAACTCCTAGTTTTCCTGTCTCTGCCTCCTAAGCGCTGAGCTTACATGTGTGCAGCCTTCTTGACCAACAAGCTGTGTCCTACTATTTAAAAGGGGGATAGGAAAGTTCAGGATGTGGAAATGATGGCTTCGTTAGAAAAGGGAAAGATAACAAGAGGAAAAGGGTGGATCTGTGTCCAAAGCAAAATGGAGTGTGTGTTGGAGGGGTTGGCATTGCTTCCTGGCCTGAGGACGACAAACCAATTTTGTTCAGAAGCAAGTCGTGAGGGAGGACAGAGCATTTGGTTATCATCACAGAGCAGATGGAGGGAGGCAGAAAGGGAGGAAGGCTCATCTCCAAGGATTAGGGCGAAGTACTGGAGGGCAGCTGGGCATGCCTAGGAGAGTTAGTCTGATGACAGTTAGCCATGCTTCCATACAAGGCAGTGCACTTTCATTTAGGGTCCCCAAAGGGGACGACCCAAATGCCACTTGACAAATGGGAGATGTACTCCTCTAGAGGCTGCTGATTGGCTCCTTTGTTTCTCACCCCAGGATGAGATTTGGCCAGGAGGCCATTTGGTTTGAGCACACTGCAAACAAAATTTCTACGTTCTAAGTCATCTGTGATCTCTAAATGAGGCAGCTGCAGAAATGTGCTGACAGCACCAAGGAAAGATTCTGTTGCTAACATACCCATCACTTGTCACGACCAAGCCAGTTGCTTGAGGAACTACTGTCTTCATATCAATACTGATGCCCTTTCCTTGCTTCTTTGTTAACAGTCGCCTTTTTATTGGGACACAGCTCTTTTCTTTTTCTTTTTCTTTTTCTTTTTTTTTCTTTTTTTTTTTTTTTTTTTTGAGTGTGGGAGGTTTGGTCTAAAGCACAACACTCCATTAGGCTTTAATACAGAAATTGTCACCATCACTATCACTGGCACTCAAGTATCAATCACTCAGTTGGTGTCAGGAGGTCCCAGTGTCCATTCACTCAATGATGTACATGAACCTGAAGTTATGATTATTTTAAGACTGTGTAGCTGTCACCCAGCACCTTACGCCTGTGTTTCCAGCAGTCAGGTTGCTGAAGCAGGGCGACCACAAGTTCAAGGCTATCTTTTGCTTCCCACTTCCTTTATCAATGTTCGGAGTCCTCACTATCATTCCAAACCATCTTCTGGCCACTTATATTTAATACTTACAAACTTTTCTTTTTAAGGGTGTCTCTAGAGCTGGTGTAATACATGCTTATTAGATGTACATTTTCTGGGGTTCAGAGTAGAAATACTAGGTGTTTTTTTCCCAGATTCTTTTATTTCCTGTGTGGCATTGTATAATGTTTTTAACAATCACTCAGAAGTCAGCAAATTTGAGCAATGGCTCAGCAGTTAAGAGCACTAGCTGCTCTTCCAGAAGAAGGAGGTTTGATTCCCAGAACCCACATAGCAGCTCACAACCCTCTGTAACTTCAGTTCCAGGGGATCTGATGACCTCTTCTGGCCTCCATGGGTACTTTACAAATGTAGTATATATTTATTACACATATGTAGTGTATATTTAAATGTAGCATACAGACAGACAGATAAAACCCAAACATACAGAAAGTAAAAATAAATAAAAATGTTTTTTAAAAGAAATTAACAGGTTTACAAGATGAATGGGGGATCTTCTATAGTGTCACTGATGGAACCCCCAAAATATGATTCACCTCTTCTACTGTTTCTTGTGACGTTAAGATCTTTGGTCTGTCTGTCTGTTGTTATCACTTAAACAGAAGATAGCTGCTGACTGATACCTGCTGCTTACAGATACCTGGTATCCTCTGGTAGAAGACTTCATTGCTTCCATATTAAAAACTTGATACCTTCATCTCCATTACTGCAGAAGCTACAATGCTGGGAACTACGATGCTGTGACTCCCTCTCGAAGAACAATTTTACTCTATTTTTGTTGTATGTTAAAAGTGAATGCTTACACCTCACACATTCAGAAGGGGCTATAAACTGCATCTCCTCATTTCTGGAAAAGGTACCAGCGCTGTCCATGGAAGGAAGCGACATGGAACTGCGGTGTGGTGGTGGGGCAGAGGGGGAGGGTCTTGCCAGACTTTCAGATGATGGTGACAGCTCTTCCGTCTCCACACTGCACTGTTGTCTCTTCCTAGGCTATAGGGCCCTGGCTGGATAGGTCAAGGCTAGATTGCCATTCTTCCCCTCTGTTTTCCAGTCCCTAGTGCTCATTCCCAGTGTGAACCAAGCTGGCAAGACTGTAGTTTGTTCAGGCACTCCTTTCTCTCCTTCGTGTCTGTTTACTCTTCTGCCCTTGACTCTTCGTGCATGTTTTTTATGCAGAGAGACAGCCAGACCTAAGTGTCTAAAGGAGTCTGTAGGAATCAGGACATGGCCCTCTCTGGTTTAATGTCTGATTAAAGGGAACCCCAGCAGCCCTGGAAAAGGCCCTATTCTAGGCTCATGACTAAGCCAGGCTCAGGGCTTTGGGCTAGCTGATGTACCCCCCAATTATCTCAGGTTCATCAGTGAGGTAGTGAAGGCCCATGGTTTTAACCAGCTTACTCAAGGTCAGTGACAAGTGCTGGAGCCAAGATTTACCTGACTTCCAAGACTGGAGTCCAAGGAAAAGTGACCTCCATTTCACTATACCCGGATAAACCCAGAGCAGCTCATGCCTGTCTCAAAACTGTTACCTGCTTTCTGCATCCGTGTAAACACCAAGCTTTTGTCTGACTTTACTTTGCTGAGAGTTCTGAAACCCATCCTGAACCATTTCTCAGCGGTCTTCAGACCCACTCCAAACACAGATGTGAAGAGCTGAAAAGGGAGGGGAAGGCAGGCTGTTATCTTCTCCCAATCATTGCTATGTCAACAGAGTGACGCATTCCAAAGCGTCAGGCCACAAGCAAAAATTACAAGCAAAACTTTGGCTCAGTGTCTCTTGAAAACATCCAGGGAATGGGTAGTGATTGTGTGTGTGTGTGTGTGTGTGTGTATAGTTGCACAGATATGCATATATATATATATATAACTGTGCGTTTGGAGATGAGAAGTCAACCTCAGGCTGGGATAGTTGGCCAGTGAGCCCCAGGGATCTGCCTGACTCTGCCTCCTCAGTGCTTGGTTTTAAAAGGACACTACCAGGCCTGGCTTTTTGAATTGGTTCTGAGGCTCTTCCTCAGGTTCTCAGCATTTTGTTGCGTTCTCTCTTGAGCCTGGGGATGATAACTTCTAGAGGATATTTGTTTCTGGAGGACCCTTTCACAGTCAGTGTCACAAAATGAAACAGAGGTGAGAGGCAGACCCACATCTGTGCAAGGCTTCCGCATGACCTAGGTGACAGACTGTGTGCTCTGTGAATGTGTGAGAAGCTGTCTCCCTGGCTGTCTTCAGGGTGCTCAGTCTCTTACACACAGTCCTGTGCTGCACCTTTGATGGAAGGATGCTCACAGAGGCGTAGCATTTCCACCCCATCTACAAGGGGGTAATGGCAAAGCACAGACTTGAACTCTGGTCTGTCTGTACTTGAGCCTAGGCTCCTATTCTGGCCCCACGTTAGGCCTTGTATAGCTTATGAACTGAAGGAACTGGCCAAAGTACCATAAACTCTAAGGTAATAAAATTTGGGAGGTGATCAGCCCTGAGTCCCAGAAATGATGATGCAACGAGGAGTTTGTGCTTCAGAACCAAGTTTACTCTGTTTGTTTCTGTGTGCTCCTTTGACACTTGTAACTGTGAGTGATGGATTCTTGGTGTTAATCTCAGGGTGATAGATATTCTTTGCACATGGGGCCTTTGGGAGGTGTGCTGGTTAATTTTAACTATCAACTTGAAATAACCTGGAACCTCCCGGGGGGGGAAATTGTCTTAATGAGGAATTGTCTATATTACCTTGGTCAGTCGGCATGTCTGTGAGGGACAGCTTGACTGTTAATTGATTTAGGAAGTCTGCCATGGAAGGTGCTGTTCCCAAGCAAAAAGTCATGCTTAATACAATAATATAAGAATAGAGAAAGCTAGCTGGGGACAAGCAAACTTGGGTCTGTACATTTGTTCACCTCTATCTCTGCCATGTGAGGGCAAGAGCAAGAAGATGGCTGTCCACTGAAAAACAACAAAGAGAGCCCTCCACAGAGTCTTGACCTGGAGACTTAAACTTTGTGCTTCCAGATCTGACATAGAATAAATTTCTGTGTCTGAGCAGCTCAGTCTGTGGCTTCTTGGCATAGCAGCCTGAGTTAATATGACCATGCACAGCCAGTAACAAGAAAAATAGAAAACCACCCCCCACTATACAAAGGCAAACTTCCTTACTTTGAAGGATTTGTATCGTTCATCATCTAACACAGCTTTAACTTCAGAACTTTCTCCATCTTCAATAATTCCCTGCAAGGAGAGTTGAGCGAAAGATTTTGAGTTATGTCCCTGCATAAGCACAGTGCCAGCCTCATACTGAAGGCCTCTCCTGCTGGTTTCTCATGAAACTCGAAGTGTTTCCCCAGCTGATCTGGGGAAAGCAAGGATTATCCTGGAATCTTGAAAACTCTTAGTTTACCATAGACCCAAAGAGCTTTTATAATCTTAGTCAAGGATACAGAAAAATGAGGGTCTGCATCCAAGACAAAATATTCACTGACAGCTATTGTCCAAACAGTCCTAATAATTTTCTTTTCAATCGACTCAACTTGCTGAAATAAGATGGCTTTTCAATCCACCAGGTTAATTAATCATTGGCCCACTGAAGAGCCAGTCATTGTCAAGCCCTGATGAGCCTCTGTTGTCTGAGCTGGGATATTTTTCTTGAATGGTATACCCTGCATTTGACTAGATTGAAACTTGCTACTGGATGGCAAACTTTCCTTGGTGAGAAATTCTTAAATGCTGCTAAACATGCACCTGCCGCCCAGTCTCTTCCCAGAACATATAGATGCAGAATCAGCCCACCAAGCATCACTCTGGGCTGACCAGGAAGAGCCCTGAGTAAGACTGAGTCTCCCACAGCCTGAAGCTGGAGCCAAAGCATTCTGCTGTTCTGAGCTCTGAGGCTTGAGTCCTTCACTATTGGTAAAAATCAGTATCTGAGAAAGTTCTTTTCTCTGCTGGTTAGGTCTACATAGTCCTACTGGGATCACGCCGAGGTATGGATTTTACACATACCTTTCTGTGCCATGTTGATCTATCTATAGATAAATAAGAGAAGAGAGCCCATGCCCATGCCGTCTGTTCCACTTCTCCCTTACCTCTATCACACACTTCACCTTGTCCCCTAGGCAGGGGATTCCCTCCGTGTCTCTCATGCTGGTGACGGGAAACGGCAGAGATTTCAGTACAGAGGCTGCTCTCATGAATGCCAGGCAAGAGCCTTCGTTCTCTCTAAACTCATAATTTTCAGCCAGGATCTCAAAGGCATCCTAAAAACAAAACAAAACAAAAACAAAAACAAAAACCAGATCGTCAGGCCTACACGTAAAAGTCACTCCCAAGTCCCTCCTGTCCCCTTTACTAAGGGTGCACCTTTGAAGTCAGGATCAACATCCTGTGGCTTTGCACGCTTCCCTGTGGGACGCTGGCATTGAACTGAAAAGACACGTGTCTAATGAGTTGTGAGGAGACTGAGTTCAGCATCATTAGACATTTAGAAACAACCTAAACAAGGAATGGCCTGGTGCCCACGGTGTCCCAGCAGTCATGACTGGGAACAACCCTTTTCTGCCTTCCGTGGTCCCTAGACATTTGGGTCTCTTAGCTTGGACATGAAACACAGCTGGTGCTGGTGGAATGAAGGGTGTGTTCATCCAGACCCAGAGCTGGGGTTATGTAAGGTGAGGCACGTTACCTCGTTAGAAGACAGTGCAGCTGTGGCTCAGTGGGCCCAGTGGCTGCCATCTGTTTCCTGCTCTTTCTCACAAATGTGGCTTGAAAGTTAGAGGTGGGAAGCCCTATGCTTGATATTCCACTGAATGTGTTACTCTGGCAACCCCTGGCCCCTGAGCAGCTGGGAGCCTATGAAAAAGAAGGCCCACTTGATGAAGAACCAGAGGTCAGGTTAGGCAGCTAGGCATGGAGAAGCATTCTCAGGTTTCCAGAAAAAAAAAAAATCATTATTTAACTTGCAGACTCACGGAAAGAAGCCTCAAGCCCCCCTCTGGTCTGGTGTTGAGACAGCCTCATTACCGTGAATACTTGGTTGTAATTACTGCTTAACATGGTCCTCCTCTGACACGCATACTGGGAGATCTTTTGCACAGTAGGTGGTGGAATGTTCTGGGAGCCCGGGGCAGGACTCGGGGAAGAAGGCCTCACCTACACAAAAGTACAAGCATTCATTTTGAAGTTAATGGCAGCAATAAGCGTGTATAACTATAAATATTTACTCAAACACAAGGAAAACATTCACTTTAAGAAAACTTAGGACATGGCAAAAGCACAAAGGACTCAAAGTGTCACATACAGCTCTAGGGTCCTATCTCCACAGTTGTTCTCATAGTAGTACATAGTAATTACACTAGATAATGAATTTCACTGTGACATCTCATGTATGAAAAAGACATGTATTTTTGAAATCACAAAAATGAAAAAGGACCAGCAATTAAATTGTATTTCCTTTGTGTGTGTGAATTTATTAAAGATGATTCAAAACTGTTTCTCAGATTCATTCTAGTAATACTGGGCAAAAATGGATTTAAAACTCATGGTCTTTAATTTTTTCATGAATCATCAGAATCAGAAGATAAATAACTCTTTGCTTTTCTGTCGTTTTTTTTTAATATCAAGGCTCATATTCTGAAATATCTTTGTGTAAATGTATTCATAAAAACAGTTCTCGTTATGGGATTCAAAGTGAGTACCTCTTGCCAAAGACATGAGTCACAATCACCTACACCTCCTGTTCCAGGAGATCTGATGCCCTTTTCTGGTCTCCGTGGACACCTGCACATGTGGGCACATACATATACACACACACACACAAACTAAAAAGAATAATTCTTTTTTTAAGTCAGTCCCATCTATTCAGTGCCTTTAACATGGAAGCACTGTGCGTGACTTACGTGCATGTCACATCAATTACCATCTCAGGAAGTGGGCATTATCGTTCTATACTAGAGGAGCAAGCGGAGGCCGAGCTAGCTACGGGGACTCCACGAGAAAAGGCTGTTACCAGCCCACGCCTGTGGATTCTGACACCCATGTCAGTGGCCATCTGGCAAAGGAGACACTTACGACGAGCTGGTGTCTCCCTGTCATCTCCACTGGTTTCCCGGCTCCCATGCATTCAATCAGCCAGGAGACGTCGAGGAGTTCGAGCTCAGAGCTGGCTTTGATGTTCTGTGCCTGGAGCCACTCTAGGACATCTGATCCTGAGTTGTTCTCTGCCACAATGTGGGTGACAGAATCGCTAGAAACCAGAGGCAAAGTTATCAGTAAAGGCAGCTTCCAAAAGGAGACCCCTCCTCCTGCCTCAAGGCTTCAGGGTTTCCTGGCACACACTGGGCCTGACCACGGATCTTCACAAGAGAGAATTGTCTCTGTCTTAATTAACCAACAGTGGACTACATCCCAGGTTGAGTGAAAAATAGAAAAGATGATATTATCCAGAGTGTTATAAAATAGAAGTGCAGGGAGGATGGAAGACGGAGCGGTCCTTAAAGTCCTGCAGATGGTTTTGCTGTATTGTTTTATTAATTTATTTATTTATTGCTCATGGAAAACTTGAACCCAGTAGTTTTCAAAATTGTCCGATGGATGATACCCAATCAAACAAACAAAAAAAATTGATATGAGAACTCAAAGTTCAAAGAGAAATAGGTATAAATGTGCCTGTGCCTGTCTTCTGCGTCCACTGGAGGTTTGAGAACAAAATGCCTTAGATGAGACTTTGTGAGCCAAGAGGTTCAAAGTCCAGGAGGGCTCACTCCTGACAAATGGCACAGAAGAGAGGGGACATTTCTGGCTCTTAGCCTGCATGAGACATTCTGAAAAGATGAGAGGCAGGGTGAGACCTGAGAGGGGTTGAGAGAAGGAAGTTGGGTGAGCTTCAAGGTAACTGGAAGTTGTTCTGAAACAAAGGGTTCAGCAGTCAGGGGACAGGAGAGGATTGTGGGGCTGGACCGGGGAGGGTATCTTAGTTGTAGAAATGGCTGAGCCAGCAGCAGCAAGGGTTTTAAATGTCTTCTTTGGGAGCTGGGCTAAGACTTTTGTGAGCAGAACACCAGTAGTGTGAATGTGTCATTTGAAAAGCCAACCTGAATGACGCAGTGTTTTGGTAAGAGAAAGAGCTGGAGTGAGGATGTGTGGGGAACAAGAGACGAGTTCCTGGTACACTTGGAGAAAGCAAAGGAGAAGCAGATGGGCACCTTGCAAGAAAAGGTGCATCACAGTGAAGCAACAGCCCTGTCTATTTGGGGACACAAATCTGTTCTCTGCTCTGAGTGCTTCTTCAACATTGAAAATATCAAGAGTACAGAAGCGCTAACATATGCCAGGTACTGGTATTAAATCTCCAGTACTTTAAAGGTACATGCCATACGTTTAATTATTGATAATACTGTGAGGCAAGTATTATCAGACTCACATAGCCTCAGAAGACATTAAAAACCCTACCCTGCTAATAACTGCAGGGGTGGGGATTTAATCTTAGGGGTTTTTTTTTGTTTTGTTTTTTTTGTTTTTTTTTTTTACCCAAAGCCTCTGAACTTGAGTAGCGATGAGGTCATCCTCTGTGACTTGGTCCTTGTTTCAGAGCAGAGGAGTTTCCTGCCACCTTCCTCACAGAAAGATTAGCTGAACGGATGTCATGCCAGTGAGAAAGAGAAGGCATACCTGAATGGGTGCCATACTGAAAAGCAAGCAGCTCCTCCAAGGGGCGGAGATATGAATGGAGAAGCTTTCTGTCACACACAGGAAGCCCTTGTGTATAATTTATGTTTTCCTACTTTATGTCGAATGGACTGCAGCAAGACTGCAGGAGCTTCGAGCTCTCCCAAGTGTGAAAATAGCTGCTGTGGCTGTACACCAAGGCAGAGAGGATCTGCAGGGAGGCCTCCAGCTGCTCTGGGCTCTCTAGGTTCTGCCTGAATCTCCCAGATGAGAGCTGAGGTCCATCTTGCAAACAATGCTGCCTCCACCAAACATTGTCAGCTCCTGGCTTTGCCCTGCACCCCTTTACCTAGTCTGCCTCTAGGTAAAGCCCTGCCTCTGGCATGGGCATTAGGAATGCCCAGGGGTGAGGGAGCTGCTGTAAAACAACCAAAAAAATGGGTACATGAAAAAAAAAATGCTGTGAAGACACTACACCATTTACAAAAACAACTCTCTCTCTCTCTGTGTAAAACTTAGTCTTCACGTTAGCTATATGAGGTGGACAACCAAAATACATTTAAAATAAGTTGTAATGTTCACACCCTGAAACACACACACACACACACACACACACACACACACACACACACGCACACACATGCACACACACGCACACACAGAGTTTTCACAGTAGCCCATCCTGTACTACATCATGTAGAACTAGGAAGAAGGTGTTTGGTAGGCTCGCACAGAAATGATATAAAGAGATAGAAACGCTGTAATTTGGTCCTTATAGGCTGTAGACACATATTCAGTTATTATTCTGTACTACATTAAATATAGGCAGTTACTACGTGTTAACTGGAATATATCTGACAAATATAATTTCATGCAGAAATTAAAAATATTGCTAGGATTGTCAAGTGGGGCTCAGGTGTTCAAAAGCTGTGCATTATGGAAGCAACTCACAAATCTTAGCTGAGTATTTCCTCATAGAGCCGTCTGCCTGTTCTTGTCTTCTCTTCCCTGGCTGGCACTGCCTCACCCCACATATGAATAAGGGAGGTAGCAATTGTTACCTGCCATCCTTTCCAGCATGACTTCCCTTTCTCATGGCTGGCCACCTGCTTCTGTGATGGTCCTGTTGCCTGGGAGAGGTCGAGCTGGGTATTTTGTAAACAATGGCTTTAGCTGTATTTAGACTGAGCTGCTTGAAGAAAAGCTGGTTTACCCCACGCCCACCCCAGCTCTGCCAATTCTCTTAGCAACTGCTGTGTTTCAGAATCCTTGAGAGCAAAGCAGGTGAGGTTGGTTCTAATCTACACACAGCAGCAGTGAGAGAGACAGCTTTCTATTCCAGACCTGGGCAGGATCTCACCTGATTCTTTAACGACCTTTAATGGTATTCCGAAATTTCTCATTAACTTGAAGCTCATAATTTTTTGAAATGGAACAATATTCCATAGACTTTGGAAGCAACAGCTCTTAGCTAATGAGTGAAGGGGAGTCACACTGTAAAGACCAGACTGAACAGATGAGGAGCAGAGGCAGCCAGGTTAGATAACCCACACTCAATACAAGCTGTCTGAAAGGAATGAGCTGTGGAAGCTAACGCTATGTTTTTGGTCACATTATGTCTGCTGTCACAAGAAGAGAACAGTGATAAAATGCAAGGCATTTATTGCTCTGTGTACCCGGTTGTGTATGAGGTAACCAGCTCCAGCTTCTGCTGCAGTGAATTCCTTGATATGATATAAACTGTGAGCTCTAAACACTTTCTTCCTTAAGTTGCTTTTGTCAGGGTACTTTAGCACAGTAACAAGGGGGGGGGGAAACCCTAAGGAGCTGGAGAGTTGGCTCTGTGGTTAAAAGCACTTGCTGTGTTTTATTCATAATAGCCAGAATCTGGAAATAACCCAGATGTTCCTCAACGTAGGAATGGATACAGAAATTGTGGTACATTTACACAGTGGAATACTACTCAGCAATTAAAAACAAGGAAATCATGAACTTTGCAGGAAAATAGTGGGATCTAGAAAAGATCATCCTGAGTGAGGTATCCCAGAAGCAGAAAGACACACATGGTATATACTCACTTATAAGTGGATACTAGACATATAATATAGGATAATCATACTAAAATCTGTACGCCTACAGAAGCTAAGCAAGAAGGAGGACCCTAGGTAAGATACTCAATCCTCATTCAGAAAGGCAAATGGGATGGATGTCGGAAGAGGGAGAAAACACGGAACAAGACAGGAACATACCACAGAGGGCTTCTGAAAGACTCTACCCATCAGGATATTAAAGCAGATGCTGAGACTCATAGCCAAACTTTGGGCAGAGTGCAGGGAATCTTAAGAAAGAAGGAGGAGATAGAAAGACCTGGAAGGGACAGGAGCTCCACAAGAAAAGCAACAGAACCAAAAAATGTGGGCCCTGGGGTCTTTTCTGAGACTGATACTCCAACCAACAACCATGCATGGAGATAACCTAGAACCCCTGCACAGATGTAGCCCGTGGTAGCTCAGTGTCCAAGTGGGTTACCTAATAAGGGGATCAGGGGCTGTCTCTGACATGAACTCAGTGGCTGGCTCTTTGATCACCTTCCCCTGGGGGGGGGGTGGGCAGCCTTACCAGGCCACAGAGGAAGGCAATGCAGGCAGTTCTGATGAGACCTGATAGGCTAGGGTCAGATGGAAGGGGAGCAGGACCTCCCCTATCAGTGGACTGGGGGAGGGCATGGGAGGAGAAAGGAGGGAAGGCAGGATTGGGAGAGGATGAGGAAAGGGGCTACAGCTGGGATACAAAGTGAATAAATTGTAATAAATAAAAAAATAAATTTAAAAAAAGAAAAGAGCACTTGTTGCTCTTGAAGAGGATTTAGGTTCGATTCCCAGAGTTGATACATGACATGACTCACAACCATCTGTAAACCCAGGTCCAGAGAATCAGAGCCCTCTTCTGGTTTCTAGAGGTACTGCATCTAGGTGGTGGACATAAGGCATGCATGCATACATACATACATACTACATACATACATACAGGCAAATCATTGATTGATGCACAAAGATAAAAATAATTAAGATGAAGGTATAATTCCTGATTCTCCTATCTCATTGTAAACTATTTATAAGACTTCTGTTTTGTTTTTACAGAGCTCCACAAAAATTGGGCAAAGCAGACACTCAGAAGCTGTTGCGATGGTGTGAGGATGATGCTTGCCTTGAGCATAGTGTCTTCCATTGCAGGCAAATATGATGGACTCGGCAGGAGAATGCCATCCTCTGGTGCATCTACAAGAGCTTGAGCAACGTTAGCAAGTATGAAGCTCCTGGATGGATGGAAAGATGGAACTCCATCCTTCTTGGCTACAGATCTGTCTTGACTGTACATGCTGGTCTAAAGACATAGGGGAAGTTAGCAAATATATTGATGGAGAAGGGTAGATGATGATGGAAGCTTTCAAGTATCGTCCTCTGTGGAAAGCCAGGATGCAATCAGGGCTTGGGAAACTGGAGATTTTGGTCCCTTTGTTGAGCCTGTATCAGGTGAGTTAACAATGTTCTCCAAAGTCTAGGATGCAGGGCACAGAATAAGCTCAGTATCCTTTTCTTTGATGTTCAAAACTACACAAGGGACTTGGCATCTCATTTGTGTTTTAGGAACCAGCTTCCTGTGGCACTTAGAATAGATGCGCATTCCACTCAAAATGACACATTCATGTTGGAGAGAACGGAATCAATCCAGAGGGATCAACACACTGATGATCTCAGGTAAGGTAGGAACCAAGACTGATCCTCTTGGGAGCCAAACGGGAGCTATGGACACTAGCCAGTTCCAGAGCATTTCATTCTCTTTGCCTCAGGCTTTGAGTTGTACAAATTGAGAAAGAAGGGTAGCCATCACTGTTAAGCAGTACCCTTGCCATTTTTCCTCTCCTAGTAGTAATTAATATCACTGTACATGTGAATGCACATTAACATATGACATGGTGCACATATAGGGGTCAGAAACCACCTGGGTAGAGTTGGCTCCCCTTCTCCTTTACCTGGGTTCCAAGGGTTGAACCTAGGTTTGTCAGGCTTGTAGAGCAAGCGACTTCCCCCGCTGAGCCCTTACTTCTCTCTCTCTTCCTCTCTCCCTCCTCCCCTGTCTCCTACCTTAAATAGGCTTTGGCTTTTTTGTTATCTTCCTTTTCATTCTTAATTTTTTAATTAAAAACATTTTAATGTGTGTAAGCGTTTTGCCTGTATGCACCCCTCGGGGGCCCGGTGTGCATGGAAGCTCAGAGTTCCTGGAACTCGAGTTGCAGATAGTTGAAAGCCGCCCTGTAATCGAATCTGGGTCTTCTGGAAGAGCAATCAGTGTCCTTAACCACTGAGCCATCTCTCCAGCCTCAAATTAAAAAGTTTTTTTTTTGTTTTGTTTTTTACATTTATTTATGGTGTTTGTGTAGAAGTCAGAGAGTGACTCATGCAAACTGCTTCTTTCCTTCCATCATGTGGTTCCCAGGGACTGAACTCAGATTCTGGTCAGACTGGGCAGGAAACACACTTAACCACTGAGCCATCTTGTAGGCTCTATCTTTGTTTTTTAAAAATATGTGTCAAAGACCAGGTATGGAGGTACTCAGGAGACAGAGTCAAGAGGATCTCTGTGAGTTCAAAGCCAGTCTAAGCTACATAGTGAGTTCCAGGATAGCAGGATAGCCAATGTATCTAGGAGACTCTGTCTCAACAAATAAACAAACAAAAGAGCAAGTCTATTGTTAACAAAAAAAAAAAAAAGACAGACAGAAATATGACCATGCACCCTCCCACACCAGATGTCTGATTACAGCGTTTTCATGGGCTGCCTTCCTGTCTTTGTTCTGCTTGCTTCTGACATCTGACCTAGTTTATATTGTGGAAAAACAATCGTCTTTTAATTTGGCTGTACAGTTCAATGGATCTAACAAATTAGTAAGAATCACACTTGTGCTATGGTGAAGTTTAACAAAGGATGCTGACACCCTTTCTCTCATCTCAGCTCCACTTCATATAGAACAGGGATCTGAATGCCTAACATGGTTAGGGAGGAAAAAAAGGGGCGGTCAGCACCAGGAGGTGAAGTCTAGAGGATCTCCCTGCAGTACTTAAAGGCTCTGTATCTGGGCACAGAGATTCTGTTAGCTCCGGGGCTTCTGCTTCCTGTGGTTCATTCTCCTCTATAGCACACAGTGTTGAATGTGCCCTCGGCCGGAGTACTTGGCTCCATCGTGGGCATGGCAACGGCTTGCTCACCAGGCACCCGTTTCCTCTGTCTCCCAAGCAGCTGGCGTAGTCCCGGCAGGCGGCATTGGGATCACTGCTCTGCCTCTTCGGTTCACCTTGCCAGCTTAGCTGCTCACTTCCTCATCACTCACTTCTGCCCATTTGCTCCAGTGGTTGCCGCATCAGTGGGATTCCACCTGAAGCCTGGACCCTTTCTGAGTAAGTGGTACCCCGGCCCGATGGTTCTCACCTTCCTGCTGGCCCCTGCTCAGTGTCCTTACCATGAAAAGCAGCTTCATATCTGCTAAAACTTTTGATTTCTGTTTTTAAATTTCTCTTTAAACTTTTTTTCCTGTTATTTTGTCCTCCTACTTTACCTATCTAATCTCTTTTTCTTTTAAAGCCAACACTGTATGTAAGTCTAACAGATCAGTTATGCTCAAAAACTAGATGAAATATAGGATTGTGAGAAAAGAATGTTAGGGAACCACACTGAAAGTGGCTGTAATGACTTCAAACAAAACAAAACAAAATAAAACAAAACAGGAGACCATGTAACAGAAACTCAGAAAAGAGAGAACCCCCAAACTCAGGAGTTTTTGACTGGGGACATTTTAGCGAAAGAACAAATGCCTTCTCAGCTTGGAGTGTGGAATATGATACCTGATAAATGACCTTGGAAGTGTGCTCCCACAAAGCTTCAAAGCCAGTACTTCATCAGCAAGAAATGTTTGACAATTCTCTTTTGAACTCAAAGACGAAGAATTCAAAATGCCACGTAAAAGTCTTATCATTGCTGACATACTGTGTTCCAGGCTCCCACTTGCACAGCCACAGGCAGTGAGCTGCGCAGATCCCTGCACTCCCCACTGTAACCCCAGCAGCTCTCTCAGCGGCCACCATCGCCACCAGGGTGTCCACCGAAGCTTTCTGAATCACTTTGATTCTCCTCATTGATTCAAGGTAGTGACTGTATAGAATAGTCAGAAAAAAACCAATGGTAGTTGGTGCTTACTGAGTGACTCTGGGTAGCTGGGTCCAAATGGTAGGTTCAGCTGCCTCCCTGCCCAGACTCTGATCACTGGGGTACTGTCACCCCTAGACTAACGTCTTTAACCAGCATCTCTTCCTGAAGCCCGCTTGAACCACTCTTTGGACAACCGTCACCAAGGCCACTCAGGTGCCTGTGGTGAACCATCTCAGCCTAGCCCACCACAAATGCTTCACACAGCCGAGGGTCGGTAAACCAGAGCCGAGCAGTCAGACCACCCTCCTGCAGCCATTTAAAAAACTGAACCCAACAGTGTTGGTTCAGTTCAATAAAGAATGGAACTGAGCGGATTCAACATGAAGTCATCTGATGAGTTGTCTGGCTATCACCGCTGGGTAATTCATCTCACAGTCAGTCATGAGAAGTCAAAGCTTTTTTAAAAAAATATCTTTTGGTGCCAATCAGTTTCTATATAATCTCTTTTATCTCCCACTCATCTTGTCTCCCTTAGCCAGCTGGCTCCTTGGGTCCCTTGGAGATGTCCCCAAGGTCCCTGCATGCTTGCAAAGTGACCAGGGCTGTCCTACCTGAGCTCATTTTCCACCCTGAACCCTTTCCTCCGGGCCAGCTCCATGAGGAAGGCTCTTCGAGTGGTTCCCATCCTCTTCTCCAAAATGAAGAGGACCAAGTCTCGAAATCTGATGTCATGAGGCGTGGGGGCCACTGAGGTGCCCAGCTGCCTGGGTCTCTTCCTCCGAGGACCCAGGTGGACTGCTTGTGGTGGATCCATTCGAGCAGACTGTGTCTCTGCCTACACCATCCAGTGGTCTCCTGAATGAGGGCTCTGATGTCACCTCAGCAGCAGCCTCTGAAGCCATGGGTACCGCCCTGGTGACAACTTCCAGCTGAAGAAATTTCTAACTCTGATCAGCTCCTTTGCCCAAGATGGAGTGCTTTACAAAAAGAGTAACCGAACTTTTTTTTTTTTTTTTTTTTTTTTTTTGCATGCTTGATCTCTGCAGCACCTCAGAATAAACTTGTGAAGAGAGTGGGACCCACCATTGATTGCGTACTATTACTTATCCCTAAATGCGCTCAAGCCCTTTATGTTGCATTTTTTTTAATTTTTAATTTAATGCTATGTTGCATTTTTGAAAAGCTATTTAAAATTTTTATTACGTTTACTTACTGGGCAAGACGGTATTGTATGCATGCCACAGCATGAGTGCAAATGTCAATCTTCATTTCTCTCCTTCCGCTGTGCAGCTCCCAGAGATCAACTTGGGTCGTCAGTCTTGGCAGCACATATCTTTCCTCACTGAGTCATTTTGCTGGCCCCCATTGACTTTATGGATCCCTCTTTTATTCGCTTTCATTCTCTTTCCCTTGGACCTATGTTACAGTAGATTGGATGTCTGTCCTGTCATGTTGCCTGTGGATGCTTTGGTTTTATATGAATGGCATCTGCATTTCTCACTCTGCTGGTCATTTTGTTTAAAGCCTGTCACTCTGGTTTTCAGGTCTCTTGTCATACCCTGCTGCTTTAATTACTATCACTTGTGGTGGGCTCAGGATCACAGATTCCCGTATGTGAGCATGTTTTATAAGGAAGGAAGGTCGGTGCTTTGTCGCTGCAGATGACAGAATAAGGGGGCAAACAAGCTCTTAAATGCAGTTCTTCTGATTTCAGATGTGATGTGTCTCAGCCTGGCTTTTGTTGGGTTGGGTTGAGTTGGGTTTGGGTTTTTTTTCGGTGTTGAAGGTTTTCCAGAGAGTGGGCCATTATATAACTAACCATAGATCTCTATGATGAGATGACATTTGGATAAGAGTCACTGTCGTGAAGTTAGGGGCATTTTCATAACTCTCTGTGAAAAATGAAATTTGCGTCTTCAGCCAATATACTTCATAGGTCTCATTTCTTGAATACCTACTATAGGTCCTAGGCAAGGTCTAAAAGCCTTTGCTCACTTAACCCTTGCAAGCCCACACTGTCAGCTAGACACCCACATAATACATCGGGGTCTAGTGGCCACAAAGTACCATGTGGGCAGCAAGAAGGAGCAGAGAAGAGGCCCAACCTGCTAAACAACTTGCTCAAAGCCACAGAACCAAAGAGTGGCCACAACTAAGACATGGCTGAGTCAGGACGTGGAGTCAGAATTGTCTGACTTCAAAACCTGTGTACTCTGGGGGCCACTGAGATGGCTCAGTGAGTAGAAGCACTTGATTCACATCCTGAAAAGCTGAGTTCCGTCTCAGCAGACAGCATGATGGAAAGTGAAATTGACTCTCACAAGTTGTCATTTGATCTCCACAGAAGTATCACGCACACGTGTGCACACGCACATACTGAAACACACAAAGCAGCCTCCTTCCGACACGCCTTCCCCAGTAAGAGATCTGGGCCCTTCCCATCCACTCTTCCACAGCTGGATGTGATGGCACAGGCTTGTAACCCAATGCTTACGAGGCAGAGACAAGCAGATCCCTAGGGCACCTTGGCCAGCCAGCCTCACCTAATCGGAGAGGTCACAGCAAGAGACACTGTCTCAAAAATAAGGTGGATGACATCATAGGTTGTCTTCTAACCTCTACACACATGCATGCATACACACACACACACACATACACACACACACACACAAACCTATGAAACACTACACAAAAGTTGATTGTTTTGCTCTTCCCATTGGCATTTCTGATAACGGCAGGAGTTAATTTCTTCCTTCCATAAGGTAATTTTCTGGTGCTAATTGCATCAGGTGTTAAGTGGCTCCTTGGTCCAGTTAATTGGCCAATAATTTCCAAGTCCTTTGTGTTGGCTAAACAAGCCGAAGTCTATGTTTTCCTTCATGCTACTTGGTGGAGGGTTTTCCTATGCTCTAGGCTTGGGCTAAATGGAGGCTTGACATGTTTGTACCTGCGCCATCTGGACCGTCTCAGCCTCTGCTGCATCAAGAAAGAGATCACAGTTGGGACTGCCCAAATGCCAAGCAGTACACATTGCTGCTGCCTTCACCCATTTTTCAGAGTAGTCCCAAGATTCCACTTCTCTACAGCAGGGCCAGAAAGTGCAGGGGATCGTGTGGGGTGTGGGAGGACACATGTTCCTGACACGTCAAGGTCATGCCCTGGCTGATGTCAAGGGGAATGTGCACCAAGCTGGGGAAGAGAATAGGGAGGCCCCAGAACCACCCTCCCCCCACCCCAGAAGAAGAACCCACTCCTGCACTCAGGCCACTCTCAGGCTAGAGTTTTGAGTCGCTGACACAGACAAACAAGGAGGTCTGGTGTCTCTGAAGTACTTCCACACCAAGCAATATGTCCAGACATGATCTAGAGGGAGCCTCATGGACAAAGCGATGGAAGGCTTTCCTGGGGTCCTTCCTGCTCCCAGCATCAACACACTGTCCTGTATAGGCAAAATGTAAATGAGATGGACGGGCTTGTCTATCAAAGGGTTAAATGAGACAAAGAGTGATTCTTCTTGAAAGAAATTAGTAAAGATATCATCTGGTAAAAATTCCTCTGCTAGCATTTTTTCAAGGTATGTTTGTGCATGCAGTGACATTTCAAAGACGATGCTTTACCTATGGGCTGAGTTAGCCAGCTGTGTAAGGATGTGAGGCGAAGGTCTGGTTACTCAAAATGAAATGCAGGGCCCCTCTGCAATAAGAAGCAGAACCCCCCTCCCCAGGGTGTTTGCTTGCTGAATTTAGAGGGGCTTTTTACCCTTCTGCAGAAGCAAAACTTTTTGCCTTGCCCAAAAACTTTGGATTATGTAGACATTTTCTTGGGAGCTCAGAGCCGTTTCTAACATCATGTTGCCACAATCTAATTCTGTGTGCACTTCCCACTGGGTTGTAAGTCTCATGTGTTCACAGAGGAATCCTCAATGCTCAGCACGGAAGCTGGCAAGGGAGGGACCACCAAATGTTCACAGAATAGCTTAGGTTCCGAGCATACGCTGACACCTCCACCTAAGCTTTCACGCTGGGCAGCTGTCAACTTTCTGCCACAGCTGCCCTTCTTTACCCAGCAAAAGTCCAACTAAGTGTCATTTCAAAAGAACAATCAAGAGACATTAAAGAGCTAGGCCACTCAAATACAGCGCTCAGTGTTATGAACCATACACCATAGTGTGTTGCCAGGCTTTTCTGTGCCTCAGTTCTCTTATCTGCACAGTGAAGGTTCTAGTGGTTTCTGCCTGGCAAGTGTTTATGAAGACTAAACCAATACAAGAGCATCGGCCTACAACACTTGACCAGGACAGTGGTGTTGGCTAAAAGGCTGTGTCCTCTCTTTCTCCCCTTCACTTTCCTGTGTCCCTCCACACTTCAGCAGCTTTCCTGCCCGTGCCTGTGGTGCTTTCTGTAGAGTGGATCCTTCCAAAACTGGTGTTCCAAGCCACTCGAGGCAGACTCTGCCTCTTAGGGAGGGTGAAGAGATCTGCAAGGACTCCAGGGTTTCAGGAGGATGTTCCAAGCTGAACAAAGCATTCTTCAGTGCAGGGTGTGGTGGCACACACTTGTAATCCCAGAAATCAGGAAATTGAGGCATCAGGGTCATGAGTTTGAGGCCAACGTGGATTATATAGTGAGACTCTGTTGATGATGATGATGGTGATTCTGTAGTGACTTAAGTCAGGGGAACAGACAAGCTCCATGCAGTGGATATTAAAATGCCAAACAGACAGACAAACAGACAGACAGACACATCTGGAAAGTGTCAGGTGGCTCAGGCTTGTCTGTGTCCAGGGTCACTGACACTCCTGATTGCATCCAGTAGATTGTCTAAGTATGTGCAAAACAACAGACAGGATAGGACCAAGTTGGACATGCTCCAGACTCAACAAACCAAGCCTGTCTGTCTGTCATCAGTGGGATCCTCAACTTCCAACTTGTAAAATGACAGAGTGCTGACCTTCAATAGCCTCATAAGACAAAACCTCCTCTGCCTGCCTGACCCATGTGGATGCCACTGTCCTCCTGCCTTCCCACCCTGCCACTCCAAGGTTCTCACTGGTATGATGGATTCTCCTGCCTGCGTCTGGAGCGACAGGTATGAGGAAACAAAGGGCACATCCCGCCAGAGGGCAGTCACTGTCATTCCCCTGCAGTTGCTTCTCTTCTGGATTTAATATTGATTCCACATCTGTGTGTCCAGCCTGTCTGTCTCTCTGGTCACCTACAAGACAGTCTTTTCACCTCTCCACTGAGGCAGGAAGGAGGCTGCCAGGCAGCAGCCTTTCTCTGGATAGACAAGGGCATCTCCCCTCATCAACAACATACGCTATTTTTACCCTGAGCCCCAATGCTTTTTGCACATGTTCAGGGTGTCAGTTTGAGAGAGGAGACGTCTGTTTCCGGCAGTTTTATTTTCTTTTATATCAAACACCTCGTATCACCTCTTCATTTCAAGCCGCCCCATCTGGGAACTCTGCCATCCAACTGCAGGCAAGGGCTTGTTTTGGTTTGGTTTCTTACCGAGCGAGTGCCAGCTTCCTCTGTTGCCTGCACAGCTGTTTTCGGCTCTTCATAGCAGGTGTCTTCTGGAGCCGTAGAACTACCCCACTGGGAAAAGCTGTAGAGCTTCTCAAAGGACAAAAATCTCAGGCAGGATGCTTCTTGCCATTGAGAACCCATACACAGCAATGTATATCTTCTGAGTGCCTAAATACAAGAATATTCTGTATGTTAGCCTTTATTTGAAGGGAATCGGTGACCACATGACAGTACTACTGGCGTCTAGCTTTCATTCCACCATATTTATTAAAGTCCAGAGGAA